AAGGGAAGTGGATTTGAAACACAATGGCGTTGATGGACCATAAAACCCACATTAAGTTAAGTCAGGACCCTGTGAGACAGTGACGTCCCTCTCTATTTTCCCACAGTCAGCGAACGCCCCGCAGCCTTTATCAACTAACCAGCATATGACAGTCCAACATCCGTCATGCCAACACCTTTTTATTTGGGCAGCGTGGAGGACAGAGTGGCAGAGGGCGGCGTAAGGTCAGGTTTCCACGGCAACTGTCAACCTCCAATCCCCCTCCAGCTGAACACCCTCTTTCATCGCCATGGCAGCGGAGAGGCCCCCCGTTTCCCAGGGGACGGGGGTAGTGAGGGAGGGAATGTGAGACGGTCGAGAGGGAGAGAGAGGGCAAACAAGTTTTGTGAAAACACAGTAATCCAATATGGCCGCCATTGTGTCCGAGCTAACTGTGGCTAAAGCTCACTTCTCGAGGAGAGGAGATACAGTGTGATGATTAACCTCAGACCCGGAAGACTGAGTGGTATCAGGAGTCAACTAAAGCTGGGGTTAATGTGTGGAAGGCGTAGGGCGAGGGGTGTGATGTTAAGACAGTAATTATATATACCTGGACTCGTGGTTTTTAAGGGTCATTTTAATCCTAAATGATATAAATGTTTGACTGACACGCCCTCCTGAAACCTGAAGCCATTTTTCTAAATTGGACAATTTTCATACCTGAACTTCCTCATATTTTTTTGATTTCCTCACAGTTTTATTTTGTTCAGAGCTTTGGGATTTTAGCCTTTAAAAGCTATTTACATGAACAAAAACCTATATAACCAACCCCAAATAAGGCAAAAATATGGCCTCTTTAAACCAGAGATGACACTCATTACTGATTTACGTTTTTACAGGGTGAGAGGTATAATTGTTAAGCCATCAACCACATGCTTGGACTCTGGATTTTAAGGGTAATTTTACCTCCCTTTTAAGCTAAATTATATGCATGTTTGACTGACACGCCCTCCTGAAACTTGACACTTATCCTGATCATCTTTGAGGGATTATTTTTCTAAACCATTTTCTAAATTGGACAATTTGCATACCTGAACTTCCTCACATTTTTATTTTGTTGTGAACTTCCTCTGGAGGAAACTTTTGTATTTTAGCCGTTAAAGACCATTTACATGCACAACAAACTATATAACCAACCCCAAAAAGCATAATGTGGCCTCTTTAGACCAGAGATGAAACTCCATACTGATTGATTATTTTACTCCTCGTACCAGAGTGACAGGTGTGATTGTTGAGCCATCAACCACATACCTGGATTCTTGGTTTTTAAGGGTAATCTTACCTCACTTTAAGCTCAATGATATGCATGTTTGACTGACACACCCATCTGAAACCTGACACTTATCCTGATCATCTTTGTGGGAATTTTTTTCTACGCCATTTTTCTAAATTGGGCAATTTTCATACCTGAACTTCCTCATGTTTATGTGATTCCTGCACCGTGTGCCAGGGTGAGAGGCGGAGTTGTTAACCCATCAAACACATACCTGGACTCTTGAGTTTAACGTTCATTTGACCCCACATTAAGCTAAATTATATGCATGTTTGACTGACACGCCCTCCTGAAACCTGGCACTTATCCTGATAATCTTTTAGGGACTTTTTCCTTTGTAGATTTCCTAAGTTGGACCATTTTCATACCTGTACTGAGGTGATTCCTTCACAGTTTAGTTGTTCACAGTTTGGAGCCTAGACTCAAGATATTTTAGTTGTGTTTGGAAACATGGGGCATACGTTTAAGATTTTAAATAAAACAATCAAATCAAGATTTAAAGTGTTAAAGGGGACCTATCATGCAAAATGCACTTTTTGATGTCTTTTATACATAAATATGTGTCCCCAGTGTGTCCGGGAACTCACGCAGCGTCAGAAAATAAAACCCTCTCTCTTTTCCTCCGTACCCAAATCTCTAAAAACGGGGCTACAACGGAGCTGATCCCGATTTGCGTCCGATATGACGTAATATCGGAAATGTAGGCTGGCTTTACACCCACGGCCCTATCAGCAACGTTGCTATCAGAAACAATGCCCGACTGTTTTGGACGTAATATGGTTGGTGTTTACATTAGCACCGCTAACACTCAGAGCTAACCTGTACTGGAGAGCATGTGTGTGAAGAAGCAGGAAATAAAAAGGAACTCACCTTGTGGTATAACCGGCAAGAGAGAAAGCCTTTGAGCTCCATACTGTTTCAGAAATAATCCTTGATAATCCATGATATGGAGTTTCATCACCGCAGAATCTGGCGGTAGAATCTCCCGCATGAGATCAGCACTTTTGAAACAGGAAGTGAAGTAGAGGGATATGAGGCATGGCTAGAATGGGTGATCTGTTTGGTATTTTCATAGACATGTTTTTTATTTATTTTTATATATCTGAGACCTATTCTATTGCCTAAAAGATAGGTGACCTTTAAATAATGTCCATCAGATCAATGGTGGATGACATGACTGGAAGATATCTAGTAAAAGGCAGGCATCAGCCCAGTCAATTGACAAACTAATAATAGTTTTTCGGTTAAAACTTTGATTAAAATTTGGTTAAACATAAATCAGTCACTTAAAGATGCCCTGAAGAGTCTTCTTGTAGATTACCAACATGTATGTTTACATTCAGATTTACTTTCCAAATCTTGAATGCATTTCCTTTCAAGTATTTTAAATCAAACAGAGTTCACGAGCATGCCTTTTCTTTCTCCCTGCCTCGATCGGTACATTAAACTATTTCTTAAAAAACATCTTAAAAGTCTCATAGCTACGTTTCAAACCATTACACTAATTATACAACTTATTTTTAACTGTGCTGTTCGAATGCCAGATATAAAAGCAGCGTTCCCCAACGATGTTTATCTTGTTGATTACACCAAGCTGGTAAAGCATTACAAAGTCCCACGGGAGTTTAAAGCGTATCCGTCTAGATGCTCTGCTGTGATAACTCTTGGAAAACAAAGCAGGAAGTTAGTCGAGAAGGCCTTGGAAAATGAACCCTGCTGTGTGTAAAATCTACAATTGATGTCCGTGGAGTGTGTTCAGATCCATTCAAGATGAGTCCGTTTATAATCTAGAGCAGCTGTGTGTGAAAGAGCCGTTTATTATTATTCTATTTGATAAATGAGCCTGCATAACACAAGAACTCTCTCAAACTCTAGATATGTTACTAATATATATTGTTAATACTCTCTGTTTAGTGTCTGGGTCTATATTCTCAAGCTTCGGATAGCTTATCGGGGTGTCATATCTCCAGGGTGTCCGCGGGGTCTTAAAAAGTATTAGAAGTTGATAAATCCATTTAGCGAAAATTAAGCCTATTAAAAAGTATTAAACGGCATTTTCCAAGGTATTACATTTTGTAGCTTGTTTTCAATAAGTATATAAATGGTCCAAAGAGGTTGTATTCTACAGTGTGCCTGAATGTAATCATTGCGTAGGTGTGTAGTGTGATTCTGTGTAGTTTATTTATGGCATCCCGTTGGATTTGACGTCATCTGAACAGGACATCGCACGCTCACTGCTTGATAGCGCGCGGAGGTCCGTTTACGCCGGTTGTTAAACAACATCGTTATGGGGAAATGCAAGTTTGCGTCCAAATGGTTGGAAGATAAGGAGGAAGGACAATCAATACTGTATATAGTAAATGTGAGGTAAAGTGTGTCGCCAATGTGACCGGTTAAAACTCGAAGTGGTGATGAGGTCTTAAAATGTATGGAAAGGGTCTTAAAAAAGGTCTTAAAAGGTATTACTTCAGGATTCCTGCATATACCCTGATCTCACATATCTCCAATATATCTAATGATTGTAGTTGTGTTTTTACCTGTTTATGAAGAAAATGAACTGTATTGAAGATGCAGTCTGAACAAAATATAATATATAAAGATATTATGCAAGGCAAGGCAAGTTCGTTTATATAGCACCTTTCAACACAAGGCAATTCAAAGTGCTTTGCAAAAATGAAATACATTAAGAAAATGGCATTTTAAAACTGTCATTAAAAAGCAAAGATAATAAAATAAACATGAATAAAAGTTACAGTGCAGTGTAAGATATGAATAGTTACATTTAAAAGTAGCGGCAAAAAGAAAAGTCTTCAGCCTGGATTTATAAGTAGTAAGAGTTGCAGCGGACCTTAGTAACTTAACGAGTTCTTGAGGTCTTCACCAACGCTGAGTTCTTTTAAGTCGAGGCTAAAAACACTGCTTACCCAGAAGCCTTTTAACTTGTTTTAGCACCTACTGTATTTACAATGTTGTTGTTAAACTATTCTGTATCTCTTTTATGCATGGTTTTTATGAATCTGTAATTCCATTATGTTTATTTATTGTGTTCCTTTCTGTTGTCTTAGTATTAAAGGTGGGGTATGTAAATTATTTCAGAAACACTTTTTGTTATATTCCATGGAATGCTCTTAACATCCTGATGGCAATGAATATATGAAATGCTTTGACAATAAATACATTAAAAAAATGTCATCTGTGGAAGCCGTGGCGCTGTAAAAAGCACGACCAATCATCTGAGCCGGCCTGGCTAAAATAACTGGATGGCCTACCTGCCTGTCAGCCTTCCATCTGTGCACAAACTTATCTCGTGCCCTCATTGGTCATGTGCGCGTTCGTGTGTGTTGGAGGAGGGGCTCTGTAAGGAAGAGGCAGATTTTTTCCGGTTGTGTATTTTCAAATTCTAGCGCACTCGAGCTGGTTTCTCCAAAATTACATACCCCACCTTTAAGTATTAATTATGATGTAAGCACTTTGAATTGCCTCTGCGTCTGAAAATGTGCTATATAAATAAACGTACCTGCATGTTTCTGGTAGTTTGCTCCAGATATTTGGAGCATAATAACTGAACGCTGCTTCGCCATGTTTAGTTCTGACTCTGTGGACAGAAAGCAGACCAGTCTAAACCCTAACCCTAGAAGACCTGAGATTAAGGTTTAACCATCACATTTTCTTTCCCTGTCTCTTTCAGGTCCCATCCACCTCAGCTCTCCTGCAGCGTCTCTCCCGCCCACCGTCCTCTCTCCCCCCTCTCCTCTCTCTAGCCTCCCCCTCCGCCCCGCCTCCCTTCTCCTGCTCCCCCCTCGTCGACCTCCAAGATAGATTCCCTCAGGAGTAAGGTTGACCTGCTCAAGCTTCCTCTGGCTCTCTCCACCAAGTCCATCTCTGAGCGTAAGGCCCAGCTGGGAGGAGTCGGAGAGTACCGCGTCCCGGGGGGAGGAGGAGGAGTCGGGGTTCGCAAAGTCCACTCAGCGCCGACCAGAGACATGGACAACGAGTCGCAGTACTCGGGATACTCGTACAAGTCCTCGCACTCCAGGACCTCCCGCAAGCACAGGTGGGTTAACACAGGTCACACAGGAGAGTCACGACATCACGACATCTTTCTCTCCTTGTTTTTTTATTAACAGCCACGTTAAGTTCTTTCAGTATATACTGCATGTTTGCTGCCATTTAGGTGACTTTAATATATAACATTTGCAAGGGTTTCAGTGTGCATAGGCTTCAAGTGTTCCAAGTGTTGGTACTTTTTGTGCCTGATTTGGGATAGTAAAGTAAACATCCAGGGGGGCACCATAACATACCTGAAGCCACACAAATAATACAACTTTCTGAAGCCGTTATTAAACTATAATCTTTTTTTAACCTATTATTTTATGAATATTTTTTTGATTGGAGCACTTCAACAAATCTTTTGTCTTATATTACATTATAACACTTTTCCAAAATGTTTTACTCAATTTTTTTAATCTTTTCAGATAAACCTTGTTAAGGTTAAGTGGGTTAGTTCATAGTTTGCGATATTTCTGCTATTTCTTAAGCGAAATCAACAACTTAAAAATATATTGGGAATGGTGAAAAATGCCTCAAAACAGAAAGAAGGCTGTTTTTCTTAACTCGTTGGAAAATGTATAATCTGAAACAAAAATCAGGCTACAATGTTAAGGAATAGGACCCAATTACTTTTGGGAATCCTAAGAACAGAACTTAGAGCCTTGTGCTGGATGTGGACATGGAACATCAAAGAGAAAGCAGTAAACCTTGAGTAACTAAGTGTTGTGTGTTTGTCCTCCAGGGATCGGAGGGATCGTCACCGCTCAAAGAGTCGAGACGGCAGCAGTCGTGCAGACAAGTCGGTCACCATCCAGACTCCTGGAGAGCCGCTGCTGGACGCAGAATCCACCCGCGGAGATGAGAGGGTCAGTCACTTTTAAACATGATTATCCATTTTAGAGCAATTTTATGTGAATCGATTCTCACTAAATGTTTGATTAATTACTTAAACAAATCGTTTTTTAATTTCTATTATCTGGTCAAAAAGACAAATCATATTTCGTTAAAAAAACTGCAGAAAAGCTCAGATGAGCCGTGTTTTCTTCATATAGTATTTGAAGGGATTTTTCAGGTTTTATAGAGGAAAATGTGCCCTTTTAATGAATTCAAAGTCATTTGAATTGCATAATATAACACATTTCACATTTGGGGTTTTACAGAATGTGAAGCATACCATACCCTCTGTTCTTAAACCCTCACAGCGCTAAAAAAAAAATCAACAAGGGAACAAATGGAAGAAACTTCAGGGAGAGCAACAGAAAACTCTCTTCTATTAATAATAATAATAATAGATTACATTTATTATAGCGCCTTTCAAGGGACCCAAGGCCGATTTACTTGGTGTGAAAAACAAACAAAGAAGTTGGGCAAGTAATAAAGTAAAAATTACTTAAATTGCAGTGGGCGTTTCCAAGATAAACAACGATAAAACTAAACCATAGACAATCCAAATGACAAAAATGATAAAAACCTTAGATGGAGGAACCTTATATTTTCTCTGTGTCTGACAGGACGATAACTGGGGCGAGACCACCACGGTCGTCACGGGCACCTCGGAGCACAGCATCTCCAACGAGGACCTGACGCGCATCACCAAAGATCTGGAGGAGTCGACCCCGCTGGAGTGTAAGCGCTTCGTGGGCCCGGTTCTGGGGGGCGTCCTGAGCTTCTTCGCGCTCCTCACCCCACTCGCCTTCCTCATCCTGCCGCAGGTGTTGTGGCGCGAGGCCCTGGAGCCCTGCGGGACGCCCTGCGAGGGCCTCTACGTCTCCCTGGCCTTCAAGCTGCTGGTGCTGCTCATCTCCTCCTGGGCGCTGTTCCTCCGCCCGCCTCGCGCCACGCTCCCGCGCTTCTTCGTCTTCCGCTGCCTGCTCATGGTGCTGGTGTTCCTGTTCGTGGCGTCCTATTGGTTGTTCTACGGCGTGCGGGTGCTGGAGCCGAGGGAGAGGGACTACCGGGGGATCGTGGAGTACGCCGCCTCGCTGGTGGACGCTCTGCTCTTCATTCAGTACCTGGCTCTGGTACTGCTGGAGGTCCGACACCTGCAGCCCGCCTTCTGCCTCAAAGTGGTGCGAAGTACTGATGGAGCCAGCAAGTTCTACAACGTGGGACACCTCAGGTCTGTGAGACAATGTAGAAAACATATCATAATGTCTGCAAGAGTTGGTAAACATTTTGCTTATCAACAAAGATGTCATGTGTGCATAGCTACAGTGTAGTTATGACAATGAAAATCTTAGGTCACAGGCTCCTCCAACAGTGCAACACAATAAAACAGATAAAATAGTGCAAGTAAATAAAATTGAATATAATAGAAATAGTCTATATACAAGTAATTGGAATATTGATATATATAAGTTGCAAAGGTGAAATAGTAGCTTTGACAGAACCAAACATGCAACCACTGACCACCAATAATGCATAATTATGTACAAACATTTCATTTCATCTCACTGTACAATATTTTATTTTACATTCTGTTCTTGTATATATCATAGTCTATTTAAGTGTATATAGACTTCTTGCGCTATTTTGTATTTTTATTTTCTTATTCTATTATGTATGTTGCATTGTTGGTCATACGATTTTCCTTGCCATTTCTACACTGTAGCCTTTGTGCATATGACAATAAAACCGTATTGAATTTGAATTGAAAACACGCTTTCACAGCAAAATAGCCTCATGTTGGTTAACGCTCTTGAGTTTGCACTTCTTAAATTCATTACAGCATCTTTAAAATTGTTATGCCATGAGTTTTTGTTTGATGTAGAGACAGGAGGCATTCGTGTGTAACACAATATTTTCTGCTCTGAGGTCCACTTATCAGCTTTTTTGAGTATTCACCTACAGTACACCTTATGGCCTTTCTTTGTGCAAATAGCTTAAATTAGCTGCTGGGGCTACATTGGATCTCTGCTTAGAAAAAAAACCTAATTTGAAAAGTGTTGTGCTTTTGACTTGTTTATTATTGTCATGTATGTGTCCAGTTATGATCCTGTACTGACTCTGACACTGACGTTTGACGTGTGTGTGTTGTGCTGTGCTTAGTATCCAGCGGGCTGCGGTCTGGGTGTTGGACCGTTATTACAGCGACTTCTCCGTCTTTAACCCCGCGCTGCTCAACCTGCCCAGATCCATCCTGTCCAAGAAGATGACCGGCTTCAAGGTTTACTCTCTGGACGGTAAATACAGCCTCTCCTCTGACTCTGTTTACTCACACACAACTCTGACTTTAGACGCCATGTCATTGTCATCCGTTGGTTAGCAGCATGATAAGGAAGAAGGATTTGGACAACAACAAAAAACACTGAAAGTATAAGCTTTGATAATATCCTTAGAGTGTAAAAGTCATCACGATTCATCCAAATGGGCTCTTGGTTGCTACATCGTTATAATATAATATTATAATGTTATTATTGATGCAGTCACATGTATCATGCATTTTTTATATGGGAGCTTACTGGAATCAAGCTCATTTGTATTTTATTTGTTTTTACTGTTGGGTGGTTTAATTGACTGTAAAACAATTGATTGTATTTCATATACTCATTATAGCTTTTTGATATTTTCATCTACACATAGATCAACTAAAAGTAGTAGGCTAAAAGTACAGCACTTCCGTTTGAGATATAAAGAAGTAGAAAATATCAAAAAGTACTTCAAAGGTTTACTGAAGTGCAGTACTTGAGTAGAAGCAGATGAAACACTGGATGACATATACTGAGGTTAAACCTAAAAGCAGCTCATGGTGATTTTGTGACCATTTTTTTAACTACCTGACTGTGTTTACTCACTTCATTTGCACTCCAGCTAAATACCTGAGATGCATTCACCTAACCCTCCCTCTTTTAATGTGTTGTCTTTCAGAAAGCTCCACCAATAACTCTTCAGGTCAGTCCCGGGCCATGATAGCAGCCGCTGCCCGGAGGAGAGACAACTCCCACAACGAGTTCTACTACGAGGAGGCCGAGATGGACCGCAGGGTTCGCAAACGCAAGGCCAGGTCAGAGAGATACTCCTTATTCACAAATAACTGCTGTGGTCTGAAAGTAGAGAATTTAACATCAAATAGAACGAAGAAAGAGATGCCTTAAAGGTCACCTATTATGCAAAATCCAATCCTTTTATACATCAACATGTCCCCCCCCCTCTGTGTAAAGAGATTCTGAAAGTTTCAGGAACAAAGATTCTCTCTCTTTCTGTCCTGATCCATTTATATAAAAACCTGTCTGAAAATGAGCTGATCAGATTTTGGCCACTTTATGATGTCATAACGATGTTTTGGCTTGTGTAACTATTAGCCAATCACGAACCAAGGTAACTTCAGAGACATGTTTGTATATATCTGAGAACCCATATTGATGAAAAACAGTATAATAGGAGACCTTTAACACACTTTAAAATCAATATTTGTGCCCTTTTCTCCACCCTCTAGGTTGGTGGTGGCGGTGGAAGAGGCCTTCACACACATCAAGCGTCTCCATGAAGACGAAGTGGCCTCGTCCCCCAAACACCCCCGAGAGGTGATGGACCCTCGGGAGGCGGCGCAGGCCATCTTCGCCCCTATGGCCCGGGCGATGCAGAAGTACCTGAGGACCACGAGGCAGCAGGCCTTCCACAGCATGGAGAGCATCCTCACACACCTGCAGTTCTGCATCACACACAACATGACGCCCAAGGTACACACCGGCTCACTGTGGTGGAAAAAACTCAACTTACCTCATCTAACATTAACATTCTGCAGTTTCACATGTTTTGTGATACAGATATATTCCAGGTGTTTAAGTCTTATTGTGATATTCCTTCAGATTCAACATCTGTAATTGGGAGTATTATAAATTCAGTTTTTTGGACAACAGAAACTTTATTAAAAGGGTTTAAAACAACTATCCCACAGTTAAATTATTGAAGAAATTTATGACATTTTTTACGAATATTTCTACATATTTTGGTAAGCTGTCTCCTTTATTCCAGTATTTATTTACTTAAATGAATTTAGGTCCTTTTTTTATTATCCAGGCAATATTATTTTGGTATTTTTTTTAATTAATGTATATCAATATTTTCCCCATCTTATTATATGTTTTAGTTCCTGTTTTATATATGACACAATTTATCTCAGGGGGCTTTACAGTTTCTACAGATCAACAAACCTTATACAATTACAACATAGACAATCTGAATTACCACATGTTAATGTAAACAACGAAATGTGTTAAATACAAAATATATAATAGAGGGTCCAGGAAATATTTTACAATCATTACTATAAGTTATGAGTCTAACTTAAAATATTAAAATGATTTCCCATTAAAACACTATCTCCCTTGTTTCCATGATATTTACACCCCCCCCCTTCCTCCCTTTTTACTCCAGGCCTTCCTGGAGCGGTACCTGAGCCCCGGCCCCACGGTGCAGTACCAGCAGCAGAACGGCAGGGGGCGCCAGTGGACCCTGGTGAGCGAGGAGCCGGTGACCTCGGCCCTGCGTCAGGGTCTCATCTTCTCCCTGCGGCGCCTCGACTTCTCCCTGGTCGTCACGGTGATGCCGCTCCCCTTCCTGCGGCTCGGGGAGGAATTCATCGACCCGAAGAGCCACAAGTTTGTGATGAGGCTTCAGTCGGAAACCTCGGTGTGATGGATGCTTCTTTTTTCCCACGGGACGGGACATGGGGTCCACTCACATCCAATCACTTCCTGTCTGTGACACAGAAACCCTTGAAGGAGAGAGTGAACCCCTCCTCCTGATATGAAACTGCTCAATGATTGTTCAAACCTGGAATAAAACGAATGCCTTCTGTAAGAGACTTTTTTTATAAAGGGGGTTTTTCTCCTCTTTTGGCTTCTCCTGTTGCTGTAACCACTGGACTACGACTTCACTGTGCTGACTCAACACCAGACGAGGGGGATTACATCACATTTGTCACTTCCTCTTTCTCAAAAACACACCGCTCTGAATGCTGGTGTACCACTGCCTTCTGGTTCCCTCTCCATGTACTGTTTCAAGAATACAAGGACAGTTTTTATATTAAAGGGTGTGACTTCTTTTTTCTTTACTCACAGAATGTAGCATTATGTGCTTTGAATTAACACGTGGCTTTTCCGCGGCCTGAAGGCCAACATGTCGTCTTTTTTATGTGAAAAATGGAAGTACATTCCTCAGCTACTCCAAACTGTATTTACATGACTGTCTTAATATGCAGGTTCTCTTTAAAACACTACACTGGCAATCCAACTTCCCTTTTACACAGAAGACTAAACCAAGACCCCATTCACGCCTGTTATTAACAAGCAGTCTTTGTATGTATATCTTATCTTCATGAGGATATTAAAACCTGGTGTTATTCAGAGTTTTCCTTAATGTCAAAAAGACCAGAAAACCAAGAGTGTGTTTCAACACTTTCAGTCTTTCCTACCCTGTCTGGAAGTAACAAGTTCCTTATTTTAAAAACCCTATACTTCAACATAAAAGGCTAATTCCTTGCCTTAAAGAACAGGGAACAAACATGACTAAATAAGGAGAAAATGAAGCATTTCCCAGGTACTATTTCAAGTCTCTGACTAACATGTCCTCATGCGTATTTACAGCATAAGGAAGTGTATGTTAACTTTCAGTGCCGATGTTCGTGACTGACTTTTTATGGTTTTGGTGAACAGATAAAATGTTCTCAGAGGATTCATTTACTAGCCAAGTAATTCAGATCCGCTCTAAACTTTACCGTGTTCTTCCTAGGCCCATGATTGACCTTTCCAACACGTTTCATAAAAATGGGGCCTTTTAGTTTTTTAGCTGAAAGACTTACAAACTGAACAGCTTGTCAGAGACATTTGGAAAGTCACCAGAAAACCAAATCATAACAGAAAACATTGAGTCTAAAAAAGCAAAAATCTATTTAATAGAAGGGTTTCTCTCAAGATTGTGACTTGATCAAATACATCTGGCCGCCTTCTTTAAGTCATGAGCAGTTTTTAAAAGCTTTTAAAACCCATTTATCCTTTTGACTTTTGAAAACACAATTTTTGTCATAAGTCCCTGAGCTCTGCCTGTCCAATTACATATTTATATCCAATCACAACACAACATTGAGACGGCAAGAGCTAAAACTTATGATAAGTGTACGTAAATGCAAAGGCCTGTGAGTCTGTCTTTCTGCAGATTCAGGTGACGTGTCAACAGGTTTAAATGAGGTCTTGGTTTATTCCAGTCTTTGTCACAATCCACACATGTGAACTCAGTCTTGAGCACACAGCTGTAGTTCAACTCAGCTGCTTCCTGGTTTTTTTTTTATCCTGCATTTTCACAAATATCCCAAATCAGACGTGTGATTGTAACTCTTCTGTGCAGCTCCTCTGCAGTGTCACACACACACACACACACACACACCGAGCTGCTCCATCCCACGGCCTTACTCTCCCTCCTCTAGGACCTAAAACACTCCTGATGTTGAGACGTGCGGCGATCCGTTGCATCTACCTACAGTTTGTTGAGCCAAAACATGACAGACGGTTTGCTTTTCAAGAGAAAATGTGGTTTAAAAAGCCCTTTAAATTCCTAACAACAAACACACCGCTGACATTTCACCCAAGTGATCACATTCTATAAAAAAAAACATGCATGCTTGAGTTGTTTCAGGCTCCCAATACTTTTTTGTAATACTTTTCTATCATTTTGATGGTGCCTAAGTTATGACGATGCAATTTCCCCGATGTTTTTACTTTTGAAAAACAAGTGGCTTGTACAAATTTTGTAGATTTTGTCTTGTATTTTCTTTCTCTTTTGGTAACTGTAGCTTGTATAGTGTCATAGGCCTTTTTCCACTATTAAACCATTTTATTCCTTATGTCTTGTTTTCTTGTCACTTATTTTGAAGCGTAGGAGGTTCGAGAAGTTCTCTTTTACAAAATACTTTATAGAAGATTTCTATCTAAATGACCTTCACTTGGATATTGGTTGCATCTGTTCGAATGTGTCTCATATCTTTTAGTCATATATCTATTCTCTGATCGTATTCAAAGCACTATGTTACTGCATTGAGCAATATTAAACTGTAGATAAGCAGCGTGTTCACAGGAGTTTTAGAGGAACTTCGTGATGAGAGGATTGCAATGTGGTAGGCGTGTGGTTTCACAGCTTTAAAAAGAAAAAACGGACAGCTAGCCCCGGACTTCCTGTTGGCTGCTGCTCACAGAGCTCACTTCAGAGAAGTTTGTGAAGAGATCTCACTGACAGCCGACAAGAAAACAAGGAAACGGATCTCTCCTTTTATCTGCAACTGAAACCGTAAGTGCTATCCATCGCTGTCTCTTTGTTGATCAACCCTACCTGGACTTGTGAGGATGAGTAAACACCATGGAGAGATTTTAAATATACCGTTAGCTTTAAAAAGTCTTAGTTAAACAGTGAGTTTATGAAACGGCATGATGGAGGAGATGATGGTGTTTGATGTAGACGGTGTGTTTTCTGTGTGCAGTGGCTCTCGGAGACATGAACGTGTGTTACATTCTGGACGGGATTCTCATCCTTTATGGCATCATCCTCACCGTCCTATACTGCAGAATGAGGGTAAGACAAACAGGAACAACACACACACACACACACACACACACACACACACACCAGCATGATGAAAGTGCTCTATGTTCCTTATTTTTGTCCAGACGTTCTCCTGAACTCTTGTAAAAAGTACGATTATTAACAACATTTTAAGAGTTTTGATCACAAATTCTCTCCATTTTGAGTAGAAAAAGTCATGAAAATGTTCTACAAACGTATAAAGATATCGATGATTCTGTCTTTAATGAAACTAACTTCCGTAATTACACCGCCGGTTCATAATGCTCTCTGTTTTATACGTTTGTATGTATTTGATCTACTTCATTGCATATTTGTTGTGTGAAATTGTGTTTTTAAAGTGAATTTTAATAACCTCAAAAGCCCTATTTGAAATAAATTACTATTTACTATTATTATTAATTAGTATGTATTCTTTTTGTTACCTTCATTGTATTTATTTTATTTCATTTTGTATCTCTATAAAATATCTCTATCTCCTTTTACATAACTCTTCACGTTGTCTTGAATATTTCATCACTTTCATGAATTACATCTCAAACATTGAGTCTAAAGAGTTTAAAACTATTATATGAATCACTAAATCCTGTGTTTTCTGATGTACTTTTTAACAGTGGACTCCTGCTGATCCCCCTGCGGTAAGTGTTGTATATTTTTGAATATATATATATACAACTAAACAAAACGTTTGTTTTTTTAAATGCGTTGGTATTCAACCCTCAAAAGCTGAAGTTCTGCTTTAAAGCGAACATCAGACTATCATTTCCTGTAAGCTTGAGCTGACCACCAACCTACGTTATTTATACACACTCACAGTTCCCAGCAGTTTCTTCACACAAACACACGTGTCACCTCCTACTTCCTGTTAATTGGTATGCACAAACACATTAAGATCTTGACCCTCGAGGCTTAAAATCATAAAGTAACATACCCCAAAATGTCTAAAAGGAGGATGTATGTGTTCATTAAGAAACGAGTGTCGCTGAAGCCCATTTTATAACTCCTTTGAACTGTTTTCGTCCCACAGAAGAAGAAGCCCGTGGAGGGAGGCATTTATGAGGTGAGACCTCTAATTCTAATGCTTAAAAAGACATTAAAAACTGCACATGATGGAAACGTGAACGCTTAAGGCACAAGTGCATGGTAAAGAAAACCTATTTTTATTCACCATACCTTGCTGTCAGAAAAGAACAATCTCACTTTGTGCAGGAAATGCTCACATCCTTGTTTTGTAGACATGTTACTTATAACACAAGGTACCTTTTAACTATATTTCCGTGTGTGTCCTGCAGGGTTTGACCTCTCAGAGCACCGACACCTACGAGACCATCAAAATGGATAAGAAGCCGATGGTCTGACGGGACTCTCTTGAAGCTTTAAACTGTATATTCGCCTCCCTTTTCTTTTTGTAAAAAATACTACTCTTATTTCCAAGCTGCGCATGTATGTAATGGTAAAACTAACTTAATTTAACAATGCACTAATAAAGGCTTTATGTGTTTTCACTGCGTTTCACAGCTGTGTCACCCGAGTTACTCAGAAACCAGAAGTTAAAGTTATTTCTGATCATCTTCCCTTTTTTTCAAGGAACGACGGAGTACTTGTAAAACCCACAACGTATTTTAAACTCAGAAAAAGGAGTGAATCTTGTTTTATAACACAATCATTAACACATAATCTGCTTATTATTCTGTGGTACACCTTAGATTAGATTCTCAGTGGAACATTTGTCTTTGGTTTATCAAATTCATATTTCTAAAAAGCCCAAAGTGAAGATTTCAAATGTCTGTCTTTGTCTGAACAACAGTCCAAAGATCCTAAAGATATTCAGATATACGATGTGTAAAACCAGCAGATTCTTAAAACTACAAAGGTGGGCTTTGCTTGTTTTTGTTACATTTTCTATCAATCATCTAATTGATTAATCGACTTAACTCTACTAATAAGCTAGAAAGTCCAAATCATGAATTGGTTTAATAGGATTTGACTTGGACTTGGGAAAATACTTAAAATAATCAGAGTCATTTTATTTATCTGATTTAATTTTGCATGCGTTTTTGAAGCTTTTAATCAAATCCCCGTATTTGAAACACAACTTTCATGTTTTAACAAGTTTTCTTTTAAATTCCAATGTTCAAACATTTGATTGCTTTGATGTGTCTTCTGACTTTTAAATACAAACAAATCTCAAAAATGTTTTTTTTTATGTAATAGATTCATGTGAAACACAATAACACTGAATCCTTACATGTCAGTTTTGCGAATCCTTGTCAAATCAACTAGATTTGGGTGAAATTAAAAACACTTAAAATGAGTTTAATCTTTAATTCAATTCAATTCAAATAGCTTTATTGGCATGACCATAATTACATACAGTATTGCCATTTAGGATGTACTTTTAAATTAATAAACATTTTGAACAAAAGCAAGATTAACTTTTTGAACATAATCTAGAAAATGAACCACAATTACCTGAGAATCCAGAAAGTAAATCTAACATTTTAATTTCTTAAAATGTACAACAGAAGATGGCCATCACACACGTTCACTGAAAGCCTGTATCCGTGTGCCTGAGTGACATTCTCCCACGTATTTACATAGAAACAAAACTGGAAAGGTTTTGAAAACAAATCGATGACAGTTCGCTCTGCGGCTGTGCACTGTTTCCCCTCAGGCTCTTCACAACAACATAAACTCACTCATCCAGACGTCTGTTACAACACACTGAACGTGTGAAACAAAATACACCCAGGGCTGGGGTCACAGCTGCATTTCAATGATGGTGAAATGAATATGAATTATATAAAATCATGTTTAATTGGCTAGTCTCACTTTTGTTGATTCCAAGTAAACATGTTGAAATGAGACAAGTGTTTTTTTTCTGTAACAACACAATAAATGACCCTTTATGCCTTCTGTGTGTGTGTGTGTGTCTGTGTGTGTCTCTGTGTGTCTCTGTGTGTGTGTGTGTGTGTGTGTGTGTGTGTGTGTGTGTGTGTGTGTGTGTGTGTGCGTTTTTACTGCTGCTGTTCAATCAGATTTATACTTTTCAGAATTCAATGCTTCCTTTTTGAATATTAGACTGATGATGAATAAGGATGAGTAAGTGGATGACTGTAGCAGGTGTGTGTCACTTCAACATGCTGTACATACAGTTTTTGGGTGGCAGAGTATAAACCATATGAAATGTACTTCTGTGGCTGTGAGGTGTCTTTCAATCGGAAGGTTGTGGGTTCCATACCCCTGTCGATGTATCCTTTGGCAAGATACTCAATCCCTTGCTCCCAAAGATGTGTGAATGTGTGTACATGTGAGCTTCGTTGAGCAGGTCACAGGTGGCGCCTTGTATGTCAGCCCCTGCTTCTGTATGAATGGGAAAATGCTGACTTGTTTTCGCCTACTAAAGCGCTTTAAGGAGTCATTTAGACTGGATAAAGCGCCTTATAATTGCAGTCCATTTTATTTGTAGGTTACAACACTGCCCACTGCTTCTAGTACAAGGATGGGTTAAATGCAGAGACCACATTTCACTGTGTGTATATATGTGTGACAATTAAAGAGGGTTTCATCCTCTGATTATATCTATCTATGAGTATGAATGAAGCTGTCTGTCATTGTAGCTGCAGGTTATCATTAGTTCAAGTCAACAGATAAACATCTGAAACCAGAGGATCATCTTCCCGTCACAGATTAGTCTGGTTGTTTTGGAAAAACTGAATTATTTGGAACTTCACACGAAATAATGCTGCGTTCAAGTTTTCCTGGGATATTAAGGTTTCTACAAGTGAGACTTGTGTTATCACGCATCATTTTCTGTTTGCTCATGTAACCTTAGAAGACCATTAGGATTCATCCTCATTAACAGAGGTGTTGAGATGTATAACGATGCTTGCTAACAAAAAAGCTAACAGGAGGGGAAAATAATAATAATAATGAATTATAGCTAAAAGTACAGGACAATACAAATGCTGTGGAGTAGATAATAAAGTAAAAGACTCCGCCGTTTGAAAAATGTATACTGAAGTCTTTTGAGGACTATGATATTTACAGGAAGCATGGGTTTATGAAAGGTTCATAACTGCACAATTAAATATAAAACAAACCATAATATTAATAATATGGCTGGGAATTGTAGATGTGTGTCACGTTCAAGCACTATAAGAGGTCAATGCATATCTTTTTTACAACAAACTGCAAGTCATAAAAACCTACTATTAATCACTGGCTTTTAACCCCGCTAAACAACCATTCTGCTGAGGCCTGAAGTTTGATGTATCAAAGAAAGCACATTATGTCCACTACATTTTGTAGAAATATTGAAAGGTGACTTATTAACAGGTAACAGGATGTCAATTAATGACAAATCCAACTTTCTCAATCTTACATGAACGCAGCATTAAGTGGGCGTGTCTACATCAAAAAGTGGGCGGAGTCGGCACAGACAGGTAGAAACTCAAACCTGTTGTAGGTGCTTCTGCTTGTGCGTGACAAACGAAGAGCTCTCTGTTTGGCCAATAGACTTATTTTTCTTTCTGTATTAGCTTACATGTAATTAGAAGTTTCTCCGTTTATCTGCTTACAATTTTGTTATTTATCTGCCGAGTTGTTCCTCCAGGCAGAATACTTTTCATTTGTAATTAAGTGAATGCACTTTACGAGTTGCACTTAATCCATATTACTACACCAGTGGACAGCAAGTGTTGGATTTTTATCAACAAGCATCATGTGTGTGATTTGAAGAGGAAACACCTGCTGAGGACCTTAAGGTGCTGCGATCACTGAGGCTTCCCGTCTGAACTTAAAGCAGAAGTCATCATGAAGTCTCTATAAAAGTTTTACAGCCGAGAAAGGAAGCTGACTCAGATATCCAGCTTTTACTTTTGGATTAGAGATGGATCTGACCGGGCAAAGGTTAAAGTACCTGGCGCTGCTGTTACTCTCTGGTGAGTTTTACGTTACAATTCACATGACAATATCACAGTTGTATGTCGTTGTTGTTGATGTTTTTAAAGCTTTTGTGGTTCAGAAATTACTTTTCTGTGCAAATTGTCAAGAGTATATGTTTTAGTTTCTTGCTCTTTTATAAAAAGGGACTTTAATATTCCTAGAGTTCAGTTGCAATATGCCTGTAACTAAATATAGTCTTTACAGTTACCTTATCGTATTTTCCAGTTCATATAATATTCCTATAATGTCTCCTATAAGAAGAAAGGGAAGGAATGAAAAGATAAAATAATCATATGGTGCCCAATGGTTACTTTTATAATATCTTTTGTGTGCTATAATAACATCATTCTACTTCCTATAAACACCTTAAGTGAATCTATAGTCAAATGTAGATACCTTAAAGGAAAAATCTATACATATCTATATTTATTTATCTATCTATATTTTCTTTTCTTTCACCATACAGAAATGTAGGCCCATAAAGATCCATAACAAACCTTTTTTTATAACATGTTTTGATAAGTATGTCAGTGCTTACTGTCTAAATCTGTTTGGTTATATTATAACCTGAATACAGTTTTCTCTAAAGACACAAAACGCCTTTTCGGACATCTCTAATCTTTGTGACACAATGCATTTTCTTCTAATTTAATCTAGAATTCAATCTTAATCTAATTGATTTTAAGGATGTTTTTTAATGCCAAAATGATAACCATGTCTAGGCCACGTAGTTCCAGTGGAGGACAATTCTACAGCATTTAATGATATGTGTTAGGCAGTAGTGTGTTTACAACCTTGTGCAGAGGTTTGGGGAAGGGTGTTCTTGTTTCAAAGACATGTATCAACTCCTGTGCTCAAAGTCTTGAATGTTTTTCCCAGTTTGGCGTGGAAGAACTAAACTCAGCCCTTACATCTACCCAATCCAAAAACTTGGAGAATTCTTCTTCTTGTTTCTGTTTCTTTTTGCCCCATTTGCATTGCTTTATGTCTTAATAGTTGCATTGACAGACAAACTTAATATAATCATTGCCAAAAAACGAATCCTTATCTATCGTGCTTATGAAAATAAAGCCTAGGAACCTCTGAATCTGAATGTATTGTCCATTGCTCCTGCAGTGGCTAAATGGCAGCTAATCCCTTCAGCCAGTGGACCGTCTTCACTGAACCTCATCATAGCAGCAGATCAACACCCGTTTTCTTTAAACTAAGTGTTCAACAATAGCTCATGGGTGCAATGTGAGGGTGTCCACCTTCTGTTTTGTCCCTGCAGGTGTGGAGGAAGAGGCAGCATGACAGAATGTGGCTCCGTCACATTCTTACTTTTAGTCAAAACATGAATCAGAACTGATTTCCCAACCTGCGTCCTCCTCTTCATCACTGTTGATGCACGGATGTTTTTCTTTGCGTTCTTCAGTGGAGATTAAACCCTGCTGTCCTGCTGCTTTAAAGCATATTGACACCATTGTTTTTCTTTAATCCTGCAAGAACATGTGTGATAAAGTTACTGCGATCCACAGTGAACAGGAAAAGCCTGTAGAGCAGCCTTGTGACTGAAGTGTTTGTCTAAAGTGTGTGTGTGCAGTGTTTGCGTGTGAGCAGTGTGTGCAGTGTTTGTGTGTGAGCAGTGTGTGTGTGTGTGCAGTGTTTGTGTGTGTGTGTGTGTGAGCAGTGTGTGCAGTGTGTGCAGTGTTTGTGTGCAGTGTGTGTGTGTGTGTGTGTGTGTTTAACTCTTTCTTTTACTTTGCGTTGTTATCTCTGTTGACTCTCACCTCTGTCTTAATTTCTCTTTGCCTCCTTTTAGTTTCAATCTTACTGTGCATGTCTAACATATGTTGTGGTGGGTGAACAAAGTACATTTACTCAAGTGCTGTACTTAAGTACAATGTTGAGGTACTTTACCGGAGTATTCTCAGTTTATGCTACTTCATACTACTACTACATTTTAGAAGCCAATATTGTACCTTTTACTCCACTACGTTACTTGACAGCTCTTAGTTACTAGGTATTTTTAGATTTAGATTATTGGCTTATACAAAAATTGAATCAGTTATTAAATAAATGATGACATATATGTATAAGTTAAGATACCCAGCAACAGTATAACGTTATTCAAATGAGCTCCTCATTTACCAGCTGTGATAAAAGCACATCAATAATCATAATAGTAACTTCACAACTCAATATATAAATAATAGAATAATACAGTGTATGATTCTGAAATGCGCCATTACGAAAACGTTCACTTTTGGCACTTTAGGTATATTTTTATCCCAATCATTTTTGCAATTTTACGTAAGGAAGATTCTGAATGCATTACTTTTTTCAACGTAGTATTGCTATTTTTACTTAAGTAAACAATCTGAGTGCTTCTTCCACCACTGATAAGACGCCATGTGCCCGTTGCACATTTTTTATCTCTAAGAAATATATGTTGTTTTTCTAAAAATGGTGCACGAAACCTAATATCTGCCCAGGATAAATAGTGTATTCTTCTTGTGAAGGATACTGATTCTCTTTCTTCTCCTTTATTGATGGGAAAGTGTTCTTCTCCTCTTTCTCTTTTACAACTCTCCTCTCCTTCTCTCCCTAATTAGGTCACCCACACTGTAGTCCTTTGTTGGCCTAATTTAAACCCGCCGCTCAGTTGGTGTTCCCGACTGTGTGGGATTTTATCTGTGGGAGTTCGTGTCCCATATCGACTGTATTGTAATCATTACTCGAGCTCATGAATGAGTAACCACAGAAAACAGTGTTTCCCCCCGAGGAATCAAAGGGCAAATGTTTGGTTTTCCCTGTTAGAGTTGTAGAAGCATGGCTCTCTCACACCCTGCTCACTCTGGATTGTGTGTCACTCCCACGCTTAGACTGTGTGATAAAAGTCTTAGTCATTAATCGCACCGATGACAGCTTTGATAGCCTCACTGATAGGAGACTACAAAGTCACTGAAGTGCTGTAGCTTCTAAAAACTCTCACTTTGTCGGGTTAATATTGATTACTCGTTCCCAATTTCTTTAGAAAATGTAGATTTTCATGCAAAAACTCTTGTAACATTTAAAACATTGCACCTGTTCATGCTAAATAATAAGTAGAATTCTTGCACACTGTTTATTTATGTTATAGCGTTTGTGTCATGGACATTTTTGGAATGAAATTCACATTATTAAACAACATCTTTGTACTTACCAGGGTTCTTACGGTCATTAAAAACCTGGAAAAGTCATGGAAATTCAAAATGCTAATTCCAGGCCCTGGAAAAGTTTTGGAAAAGTCATGGAAATGTAACTAAAGTTGCATCAAATATAATTTATATTTGATCTAATCGCCGAAATAGTAATACTATAATGATAATAAATACTGTATCGTATAGTAATGAAATGTAAAATGGCATTTAACTGACGAGGTATTTTGCTGGTGAGAGATTTGAGTTGCTTTAGCGTGTAGAAGCTAGTAAGCCTACTATTGGATTTGTTTTAGATAGGCACAACATGTTTCATATGCAGACCTTATTTTCCTGTTCTATGTTAAAATAAACCATTTTCAGTGGTACCGCTGAGAAAGAGTAATTATTCATGGAAAATTAGATAAAGGTCATGGAGAAGTAATGGAAAAGTCATTGGTGAAAAAGTGTATGAACCCTGACTTACTTGTATTAAATATATGTTGTAATTACTTGTACTACTTCTACTCAAGCCACACACGGCAACAACCTATCAAAAGGAATCAAATACTTGGGGAAATAACCACATAAAAGTGTAATTTAAAAACAGAAACATTAATAATATAAGGCAAACATCATAATGTATGTCAAGATCAATGGAATACACATTAAAATAGAACATTTGATATCTTATAATATATTAGAAGGGCAATCAATAAACATTGTTTTTAATCAAGAGGATGCTGAACCTGATTGCTGGTCAGACAAAAAAACATATCTAATTCTAAAAAAAAATATCATAATCTTGATAATAAAAAACATCCATTTATTTATAGACTTCTGAAACTTAAATAGATTACGACAAAATAATTCAATATCAAGGAATTTTTAAGTAAAAAATCAGTCAGTGTGGAAAAATAGCAGCTGAATCATCATGTAACATAATTGTTTGTTGAGAGTCTGTTCACAAACAGAGCGACGTTTCTATTTTTAAAGGGAGAATTAAGACTCATAAAAGCACTATTGTTCCTGTTGTTTGCTCCGTCGCCTCACAGCTTGAAACTCATCCTCCACCTTCTTTGTGGACTTTGTTGCTCTTTGTCTGCGTGCCATCAGACGAGCAGGTTGGGTGAACCGGTGACGTCCATAAGGTGTGAATGTGTTTACCTGTCTACATGCAAACCTGTCTGGGGTCAACTTCAACTCCAGCCCAATGCATTATGGGAAAATGTCAGGGGCTTTGTATAGGAAATGAATGCTTTAAGATGTACACATGTGGCATTGTTGTCTAGAAGGAAACATCGTGCTAGCTTAAGGTGGAAAGAAATTAGAGCTTCAACTAGCAATTATTTTTAAATATAGCATTATCAATGAATCATTTATAGTCTAGGAAGTTTCAGAAAGCGTTGGGAAATGTTCTTCACAAGCTCCCAGAGCCTACGGGAATGCCGTCAAATTGCTTGTTTTATCTGACTTACAAAATAAACCCAAATATATTTAACAAGAAAATGTTTGGGAGCAGCATTAGAATCACCAATATGGTCCTGACTGAGTTATCTTCACAACTTTTGGAGAGAAACCCCTTGAAAAAATATATTCAATGTCCTCAAACGGATATTTAAATTATTGGCATGTACTGTCGAGAAATCTGGACGACAATTGAATAAATGAACATGACATTTTGTGCAGCTTCATCAGGACTTTGCGCTTAGTGCCAATTAGCAAATGTTAGCATTAATTGTTTTACCCCTAAACTTTGTCATGCTAATATGGTTGTTTTAAACACGATAGCATGCTAATGCTAGTCTTTAGCTCCAATTCAATGTTGTACAGGAAGTGAGTCTACATTTTGTGGGCTCAGAACAGTCTCATAATACACACATGCACACAGAAGGATTCACACTTGTATTTCATGATCCACAAAAGGATTCACACTTGTATTTCCGGATCCACACTTGTGTTTGTCAATGCACACACAAATGTGTTCCGTTTCATATACATGTAAATAAAATCCAAATGCAGAAAAAAGTTTTACATATGTATTTTTGATCCTCACATATTTGTTTTCCGTTTAAAACCGCTGCACCTACAAACACAACCCGCTCTCTGTGCATGGATCGCTGTGCATTCGTGTGTGGGTTTTTTGAGACTCCCCTGACGGTCACCCGATTCGTACTTGTAATTTGTTCTATCTATAGCCAATCAGATGTCTCCTCAATTCTAAGCCAATCACATGAGCGCGCCCCCACGAGGGTAGATTTCTTGCGTTCATGACGTAGCGCTTCATGTACGCATTTTGCGCTGTCCGGAGCTGACAGGTCCATGGAGCCTGCCTGCAGGCGCTAATCTCAGGACACTTCCACTCTCAGTACATAGCCACTTTCCGAGCAGGAAATGCACGCAAATACAAGCCTTTATATTATTAAGGTACACAGTGCCACTTTCTGAACCATTAATGAATGCTTGTGTACATAAAAACGGCAGGCAAAACCGTTTTAAATGTGTGTTTCCTGTATGGCGAATACAGCTGCTTTATTTATGTCTGTATGAAGTTGTTGTGAGTGTGGAGGGAGCAGCTACAGGTTAGCTTAGCCTAATCGATCAGTGCACTACGAAGCCAGTGCTAGACAGTGAACTGTCAACGGGGGGAGCCCCGCCGGTCATTATCGGCCGATATTCACTCTTAATAGTTTGATCGGTGCTCTCTATAAAGGCCGATCAGGAGAGCTGGATCTGATCGATATGGACATAAACACGAGTGAAGTTTTAGCGAGCTGCATGAGAAACTGACGGGCTGTCAGGAGAGAGGGAGGGAGAGAGGAAAAGAGAGGATCCATTACTCCCATGTTATTAGCCATATCCGGTCATAGTCCGGTAATTACCTGCTAACGGAAACTCTGCTACACAATTCTTCTTCTTCTTCTTATTATTATTGAAACATGACCGGTAAGTTTCAAATTTGTCCGGTAAAATAAATTCTGTCTGCGGAAACCCGGGTTACCTTGGTTGGTGATTGGCTAATGGTGACACAAGCCAACTAATCGTTATGACATCATAAAGTGTCCAAAATTTGATCAGCTCATTTTCAGACAGGATTTTATATAAATGGATCAGGACAAAAAGAGAGAGAGAATCTTTTTTCCTGAAACTTTCAGAATCTCTTTACACAGAGGGGACACATGTTTATGTATAAAAGACATGAAAAATAGGTGACCTTTAAGACCTTCCTGGCACTCTCCATGTTCCTATTACAATCTCAATATCTCTGATAAAATCCTCTCTCTCTCCCTCTCCTCAGTGATCTGTGTGCAGGGAGACTTCGTGGAGCCCCCTCAGCCCGACACCTCGCTGCGCTCCTTTGCAGAGAGTGAGACCAGACTGCCCTGCCACTACCAGGTGGAGGGAAAGCAGAAGGTGGTGCAGGTCACATGGTACAAGGACCTCCCAGACGGCAGCAAGGATCAGATCATCACTGCTCACTTTGTGGACGGACACACAGGTGAGATGCAGCGGGAGGTTAACAGTGAATAAATGTACTCCATGTATATTGAACATAAATTACCTCAAATGCCAAGTTTTTGTTCTTGAAGATACACTAAAGATTACCCATACTGTCCAATTTCTAATATAAGATCAGTCACTAGAGATTGTTCAACCACTTAGAGATGTCCCGCCCCTGAGCCTATCACGTACAATGTGATGGAGGACTTGCCAATAGCAGCGCGAGTGTTACATAGTGATGTTATTATGTTACATTGAGGCGTCTCAGGTGTCTCATTTGAGTAGTATGATTGATGTTGACAGGCGCTGTGTTCAGGAGGCTGAGCTTGGCCTGTAATCAATGATAAATGATAACCGTCAAAACCACATTTCATTCCAGTTCATAACAATTAAGTTCAACTGTCTGTCCTAATTAATATTGCATCATGGCTCTTTGAATGATTTTACAAATACAACAAACCTGTATAACACTGTGATTGGAAATGAGAGCATACCATGAGACTGCTTAAAGTGCTATATATACATGTATTATTATTATTATACTAGGACTATTTGTTTTTAAGTGAGGGTTTTGGCGTCATTAAAAAGATACTGGTTTATTTTGCCAAGGAATGTTTTGTTTCCATATTATTACTATTTGGGAAATTTGTATTTTCCACATGTATATATATTTTTTTATTTTATATTCTTTAACTTTTTACATTTTTAATGCTATTTTATTTCTATTTCTGAAATATTTTGGACTGTTTATTTCTTGTCTTAATCTATCTGTCTGTCTGTCTGTCTGTCTGTCTGTCTGTCTGTCTGTCTGTCTGTCTGTCTGTCTGTCTGTCTCTTCTATCTATCCATCTATCCATCTATCTATCTATTTATTAAAAAAAAGTCTGTTTGAGCTTTGTTTAAAGAATGATTGTCATGTTCCTTGGCTTTATCTGAACTCTTTTCATGTGGTACATCAGAGTTTGGGCGTTACTCCGGCCGGGTGAGGTTCGAGAGCGGGAGTCCCACGGTGAACTCGGCTCTTCTCATCCCGAACACGGAGGAGTCGGACAAGGGCAGCTACACCTGCCACATCTCCACCTTCCCCAACGGAAACTTTGAGAGGCACATCACACTCACCGTCTGGAGTAAGAGTCATCATCTCTCTCTCGTCTTCTCCCACACATTTCTAATCCTGTCAGAGCTGCTGTAATGATGTTTAAACCATAATCATGTTGATAGAAGGGAAATCCAACCTGGGGAAATTAAGCATGTTTTCCAACGTGGCCAAAAACACTGACAACTTATCTAAATCTTTAGCGTGTGAAAAGCAAAAAAAGTGAATGTTTTTTTAATACCAAGTAACAGTAATGCCAAGTGAAATACAAAAAATGTATTGGGCAGAAAAAGCAAGAGTATACTCAATACTGCTTGTATTAATAATAGATTATATTCATGTATTCATAAGCCCCAAGCAAGATGTGGAGGGTGTTTTACAATAAAAGAGAAACCGCTTCGAACCACAGGGTTTGACTTTGTGTTAAGATTCCAAGTTGAGACTAGTACATTTGATTTATATAGCCCAAAACCACACAGGGCTTTACACCTGCTTTCCTCAGACTCCTTTAGATGTGTGTAAAGAAACACAACCGATTGTCCTATTAACCGAAGAGACAACCGTGTGGAACAGGGCAACGACAATATCAAATTAATGTACTAACATACATACAAAATATGGAACAGACAAGACATCCGTTAATCTCCATCAAGCACTTGTAAGAGTTGGCCTTCACTCTTAATATCACAGCAGTTTCCATCACTTAACTAACTCTGAAACATAAAAAGGTTAATTACTAAACTAATAGTATCAACAAATCTGGTCTTTAACACATTCAAAGTCTCAAAACAAGTAGGTTCTTCATATGTAAGAAATATCGAGTTCTGCAAACTTTTGAACTCACAAAAAAACTACATTTTCACATATTAAATATTGAGACATTTTCTATTTCTGCAGTGCTGTCATTGTCTGATTGATGTCTTTCATTTTGGATCCCCTCCTTTTTCCACTTACTGAGACAATTGCATCGCATAAGGATTTCAGTGGAGACATAATAGAGCGTGGGAAATGCTGCTTCACTCCTTCAAGTAAAACCTGCAGCGCTGCTCTGTTCTCCTTAAATTATTTTCTCATGTCGCTCCGCCATTAACGGTGACAGCTCCGTAGTAAACTTGTCCTGACACGCCAAAGATCAGACAAAACTACCGCAACACACACACTAAATGACAACCTGCAGCCACACACACGCTAACTGACAATCTGCAACAACACACACACACTCACTCACAACCTGCAGCCACACACACGCTAACTGACAACCTGCAGCAACACACACACTCACTCACAACCTGCAGCAACACACACACACTAACTGACAACCTGCAGCAACACACACACTAACTCACAATCTGCAGCAACACACACACACTAACTCACAATCTGCAGCAACACACACACTCACTCACAACCTGCAGCAACACACACACACTAACTCACAATCTGCAGCAACACACACACACTAACTGACAACCTGCAGCAACACACACGCTAACTGACAACCTGCAGCAACACACACACACTAACTGACAACCTGCAGCAACACACACACACACACACACTAACTGACAACCTGCAGCAACACACACACACTAACTCACAATCTGCAGCAACACACACACACTAACTGACAACCTGCAGCAACACACACACACTAACTGACAATCTGCAGCAACACACACACACTAACTGACAATCTGCAGCAACACACACACTAACTGACAACCTGCAGCAACACACACACACTCACTCACAACCTGCAGCAACACACACACACTAACTCACAATCTGCAGCAACACACACACACTAACTGACAACCTGCAGCAACACACACACACTAACTGACAATCTGCAGCAACACACACACACTAACTGACAATCTGCAGCAACACACACACTAACTGACAACCTGCAGCAACACACACACACTCACTCACAACCTGCAGCAACACACACACACTAACTCACAATCTGCAGCAACACACACACACTAACTGACAACCTGCAGCAACACACACACACTAACTCACAACCTGCAGCAACACACACACTAACTGACAACCTGCAGCAACACACACACACTAACTGACAACCTGCAGCAACACACACACACACACACACACACACACACACACACACACACACACACACACACACACACACACACACACACACACACATACACACACACATACACATACACATACACACACACACACACACACACACACATACACATACACATACACATACACATACACACACACGCTAACTGACAATCTGCAGCAACACACACACACACGCACACGCACACGCACTAACTGACAATCTGCAGCAACACACACACTAACTGACAATCTGCAGCAACACACACACTAACTCACAACCTGCAGCCACACACACACACGCACACACACTAACTGACAATCTGCAGCAACACACACACTAACTGACAATCTGCAGCAACACACACACTAACTCACAACCTGCAGCCACACACACACACACACACACACACACACACACACACACACACACACACACACACACACACACACACACACACACTAACTGACAACCTACAGCAACACACACACTAACTGACAACCTACAGCCACACACACACTAACTGACAACCTACACACACACACACACACACACACACACATACACACACACACACACACACACACACACACACACACACACACACACACACACACACACACACACTAACTGACAACCTGCAGCATTACAATTCCCTCGACTCTTTAAACCATAAAAGTGTAACACTAAATGTTGAACCCATAAGCTACATATAGATGCTCTGCTTTGATTTCATTGTAAAAAAATCTGGATTACTTTCTCTTTTATTCAGTGAATTGTTTTCAATGGGATTTGTGTTTATTTAGCTGGTTGTATTTAGCCATGAATTATCTCTTATTAAAAGATTAAGTAGTTTCGTCATTTCGTTTTTCTGTGCAGGATATATCCCTGCAGGTAATCTCTTCCCACATATTATCTGTCAATCAAACACGGATGACGGTGTGTTTGTGATGTCATGTTTCTGTTTATAAGGTTAGAGTCTATTAGGGTGGAGACCTTTTCTTTGTCTGATAATCCCTAATGGATAGTTCTGCTAATGCTAACTACGTGTTTTGACTTCTACGTTAATAATCCGAGCACCAATGGAAAGACTTCCCAGGTGTTTACTACAGCAAAGGCTGTCATGACCCGGGCGTGAACCACAATCGTGTTTAACCAGTTGGTGACCGAGAGTAACCGAACAGAAATGTATTTATGTGAAGCATTTTCCCACATGTTTTTAAAAATACTTCTTCTTGCACAACAATGATAGACTTGTAGTGGAGACTTTCTGAATGAATGATGTTGACAGTATCTAGCGTGGTTGGTTCTTCAGTTAGCTCCAAGTTGTGCATATTTTTCTCTATTATGTTCCAGGATGAATTAAAAGTCTTTTTTTTACAACAATATTCTTATCTGAAAAATCTTATATCAGCAACAAGATCTTAATGAGCCTTTTGCTCAAACTTGTCTCTGACGTACAAAGACAATCACTATACAAATATTTTAGTGACATCCTAGATTTAAGGAAGCCAATTACTGTCACTTTAGGTAATGTTAGGTAAAGACAGATGAACTATGAGCAGGATTTAGGAAGTATTGATTCAATCTTAATGCAGTAATTGTAAGCAATGTGGATCACAGAAGTGGTTAAGCTCATCATTGTCAATCACACAATCTTCCATCTTCAAATGCCTAAAGCAGTTAACTCAAACCTCAAACATTAATCCTCTCAGAGAATGTTAAACATCCAAGTGAAGTAAGAATAAGAAAAACACAAATCAGATAAGATGGACCTGTATGGATCGCCGTAGGGAACTTCAGGTGTTTTAGCAGCAACAGAATAAGACAGAAACACAGATACATGACAATATACACTGGGATAATAAGTAAAATAATAAAAAATAAACTAGTAGCAACAGTATGAATAGAAATAACAAAAATGACATGAGTTAATATCTGATTGGGTGAATGTACATACAGATATGGGACAAGGTTAAATACATATTCATTTAAATGTACAGGGAGCAGCACGGGTGGATGTTGAGGATTTGATTCCTCTTACTGACCATGTTCCTCCTCCTCTCCTCTCAGTTTTACCCATCTCCTCTCTGGACCCGGTGATCCTGGTGGAGGGTCAGTCTTTCCGTGTGGCCGCCTCCTGTCGAGCGGTGGGCCGCCCGCCCCCCACTCTCACCTGGGACACCGACCTGCCGGGACAGTCCCTGGACCGGACCCAGGAGGGCGGGTCCGTGTCCAGCTACTACTCCCTGCACCCGCTGCGCAGCATGACGGGGAAGAAGCTGGACTGCCTGGTGTGGCACCCCGGCCTGGAGCAGCCGCGCCGCATCTCCAACCACCTGGTGGTGCAGTGTGAGTACAGCTGGGAGGGATCAGTGTTTTAAACTATCTGGTTTTCAGTATCAATATATATATATTTTTTTTACTTTGTTTTTATTTCAGATTCAGTTTCATTACACATACATGTTCACATTTTGGTTAACAGTTTTTCCATTTTCACTTAGCTGTGTGTGTGTGTGTGTGTGTGTGTGTGTGTGTGTGTGTGTGTGTGTGTGTGTGTGTGTGTGTGTGTGTGTGTGTGTGTGTGTGTGTGTGTGTGTGTGTGTGTGTGTGTGTGTGTGTGTGTGTGTGTGTGTGTGTGTGTGTGTGTGTGTGTGTGTGTGTGTGTGTGTGTGTGTGTGTGTGTGTGTGTGTGTGTGTGTGTGTGTGTGTGTGTGTGTGTGTGTGTGTGTGTGTGTGTGTGTGTGTGTGTGTGTGTGTGTGTGTGGTGTGTGTGTGTGTGTGTGTGTGTGTGTGTGTGTGTGTGTGTGTGTGTGTGTGTGTGTGTGTGTGTGTGTGTGTGTGTGTGTGTGTGTGTGTGTGGGGGTGTGTCAGAACAATTCAATACACTTTGATCAGAAGGTTAAAGACCCTGAAGTGGTTTGAAAGATGTGGAGAGTATCAATATTTGTAGTAATGATAATACAACAATATATATATATAGACACAATAAAGTTCTTGTTTTTGTTCAAAGTTTTTTTTAATATTGTTTATTTGAATTTATATGTCTTTAATCTATTTTATTTACTTTACATTTTTTATTCATTTTATGTTTTATTTGATTTGATTTATTTATGTTTTTCTAAAATGAAAACCCATTTTCCTCCTGGGAAAAATAAAGCGTTCTGATTCTGAACAATTGAGCATTACGAGAGTTTTACCTTTATACTATCATCAAGGTAGAGCTTCTCTTAGTGCAGAAATAGTCTTACTGGTGGAGTTTAACATCAGTGGAAGGAACAAAAGACACTTTATTTTCTGTATGTGTTGTAATCATGTCATAGTGTACTGTTCTGAAGTTGGTATGCAGAAAATGAATATACTTAAAAAATGCTGTACACCCACAGATGGATTACAATCACACAAATGTGACAAAAGAGAATGTGTGCTTTCTCGCCACCATCCACAGTTTGTTTACCGTGACAAGCTCCTTTATTTCCTGGAACAAAACAGCACAGTCAAAAAGAACAAGTGTTCATCACATCATGACCTGAGTATACTGAATTTGATCTGAAGTTCAGTGAAAGCTCTGTAAATAGTCCAAATCTCTGTGGTAGGTCATAGCATGGGCTTTGCTTTGGACTCTTCTAAGGAAATGAGGCAAACTCTTGCAACAACAAGTGTAACTAATAAGATAAATCCTAATTTTGTTGACTAGGATTGAATGTGTTCTCCGGTCAATATGTCCCTCTCACCTCTTTTACTATTGCTCCATGTGTTTCAACATGTTGAAGTATTTTATGTGGAAGCTGCCCACTTGACCAGTTCTCCCTGGAGGTAGACATATGTTAACCCATTGGGACCTTCTTGGCTAAAGGATCAATCAATCCGATAAAACTATTATTAAATGAAGGTGTGTCCATAAGGAAGTCCCAGCAGAGCCGTGGGAACACTTCGATGAAATGCAGCAGTTATTCATTCCTTATTTTCAGCTCTAGCTGTGCTTTACCTGCAATAACATGTCAACATGTCTGCAGTGTGGAGTTTCTATTACAGTCAAACAGAAGAAAAAAAAAGACAGTGATGTTGTTCGTCATGACTTAATAAGGTTAGCAGATTGCAGGATTTCCAAGATGAGCCAACCTCGATCTTGTTTGAACTTGAATAGACAACTAGGACACTTTCTAACCTAATGACTAAGACAGCATGGCTATGCTCTAAATCCACACTACAAACAAAGAAATCCTCATGGTTTACTGTTTTCAAGAAGTTTTCCAAATATTTAAATATCATTTTTTTGTTTTCTGAGATCTTTCCGGTGTCGTCTTTTCCAACCACCACGCTTTATCTAACTTTTTGCAGATGCAGCTTCACTTCTTTTCTAAATGACATTTTGGAAAATAGAGCACATCTCTGCACTGTTTCGGTATTCCTAACGTCTCAATTGGGAACACTGCATGGTGTGAATCTGCTCTAAATAAGTATATAGTATGAATTCAGGACTTCGCTCAACCTTCTCTGCTGGGCTATCAACCAATTATTTTAGCTCCCCCTGCTAATGGCTAGTTTGACCAATGACATTTGTCCCTTTTAGTTTCCATGCCAGAGATATTTGTATAGCTTATCCTTTCTGTGGAGAAAATAAATAGTTGGTAGTAGACTAAACATTAGATAATATTGGCAGGTTGCTGGGAAAGTGTATGAGTAATGCTTCGTCCTCCACGATTACTGTCAGTGCAGTCGGAGAGAAGCACTACAACTTTGGTTCCTTCAGGGCACAATCGCTCTTTGTCCAGCTCAATGGTGTACAGAAGAGTGGAGTCATGTATCTGATGACTTTAGACTTGACTTGATCCGAATCTGACTTGCTACGACTTGTAACTCTTCTTTGACATCACATTTTTGTCTTGGAATGACTTAATCCCAAATATTAAAAAGCTCTCTATTATAATTATTTTTTATTTTTCCTAACAATGGTTGTACATTACTTGAATACATCTGACAGCCAATCACATGTCCTGAGAATGAGGAAAAGATCCGTCTGGCCGTGCAAACAAGCAGACAGACATCCCATAATACCTACGATTGTCACATCTGTACTGCTTTATTTATCTTATTGCTATTTAACTGTATTTTATTACGGTGTAAAAAAGATTTTGTGTTTTATATTAGATTTCTTGTTTTTTATATTTTATGTATGCACCATGACATCAAGTCAAATTCCTAGTATGTGTGAACCTACCTGGCAATAAACCTGTTTCTGATTCTGATTCTGATTCTGAAAGACTCTAAGGTCGTCAGAAAAATGCAAAAGATTTACCTCAGAAATTAAATTGTCACTGAAAGGACATACTTTAAGAACACACATTCTTTTACTGTTAAAACTGTCAGAAATGTGATGCATAACGACTTCAAACACAACTTTAACTCAACTCTAGAATTCATTCCAAGCAGTGGGACCTTTTTGAGACTTGCAAAACATTGACTTTGTCCCACTTCTGCAAACGTCGTCAGCATGAGGACATGAAGTAATGCTGAAATAACAGCTTTAAATCTGAGGCAACTTGATCTTTGGATAAATAAAGACAAACATTTGAGTGGGTTTTATAGTTTGAAAACTTTCTTTAAAGCGGCCCTATTTTGCTTTTTTGGAATTTTCCTTTTCCTGTAGTGTGTTATTTATTTGCGCTTCTATTGGCTAGCGCTCCAATACGTAGCCCGTGATAGGCTAAGGGGCGGGACATCTCTAAGTGGTTGACCAATCGCAACAGAGCCGGCCAGCTAACCAATCAGAGCAGACTGGGCTCTGGTTTCAGACAGAGGGTGAAAAGAGGTGCTGCAGCACAGGCAGTATGAGAAAAATAAAGAGCTTTTTGAACATTAGAGCATGGAGACATGTCCCAGTAGAGACACAACATACTGATATGGACCTGAAAATAAGCAGAATAGAGCCCCGTTAAATGACCTGATAAAAATCCTAACATACAAGTTCCTCTTTGCTCTACCATGCAGCAATTGTGTACACATGTTGTGTAACTGCATGCTTATGTCTGTGTTTCTTTATCAGACCCCCCAGATGCCATCATCTCCTCCGCTACAGAGGACTGGTATGTGGGTATGGAGAACGCTGAGATGATCTGCAGCGGCGGAGGATACCCCAAACCTCAGAACATCACCTGGACGAGGTACTGTCATCTACATGTCTGCTGAAAACGCACACACACACACACACACACACACACAAATGTACAAACAAAAACACACACAAACACATTAAGGCTGTCTGGCTGTCTGACAATTACATGTTAATTCACCCCACTGCGATGCTATCAGCACTGCTAAACTGCTCTTTACATGGCACTGGAATGTGTCTCCAAGCATATATAAGCCACTGCTAACACGCATACACACGGACTACACCCCCATTAACAACAATGAAGTGTGCTTCAATCTGAAGGAGGGCGCCTTTCTATCCTGCCTCAATTCATCTCAGAATAAAAGCGGCGGTGTCGTGTTGCGCAATTTGAAGTCAGAAAAAGAGCCAGGGAGATATTTTCACACGAGGGAGGGGAGAGCGCGACACAAGGAAGAGCAGGAGACGAATGCTAAGCACTTAATCATAGTGCCATGCTTTAAATATCACTTTAATGCCTGGTAAAACACAGGGTCTGTACTTAAATTAGAGACACTGTACCAGCCATTACAGCTCCGACTGAATACACAATGATCAAATGTTGTGTGTGCTGAGTGAGAAATATTTCAGCCATGAAGCAATCTTGAAATATTAAGATTATTCTGGATTAAAGCTTTTCAACCTCGCAGACCCATTGGCGCGATCATCAGTACAAACTCATTCTGTGTTTAACTCCAGAGAAGCTCGTTTTCAACTCCTAATACGTCAATATATTGGGAAATGTACTTGTTAACTTTATTTTGGAGCTTTAGATAGGAAGAGCAGTCCCACTCTTGTGTCTCTACAGTAAATATGAAGCTTTTAACTTGCATATATTTATCTTAGCTTAGCATGAAGACTGGAAACAAGGGGAAAGTGATAGCCTTGCTCTGCATACATGTAACAAAAAACACCAACCTGCATCTCACTGTTTGATGCTTTGATAACTCCCTTACAAAGATTGTGAGGCAGCACAAAACGGATAAGAATCTTTTTGGCTGCTAAAAGTGGATTTCTCACTGTATCTGTATCATTTTCCACCATCTCCTCTGTGTCAGATGCAATCTCCACCTGTGACTCTTTTATAAAGCGCTGGTTAGAGAAGCTAGGTGGGGTTTTGAGAAAAGAAATCTGAGCTGGCTCCAGTTTGGGGGGGGTGCTGCTGCGGCACGGTGAAACCGATGCAACATGACCCCCTCAGTGGACCTGATCAGAAACTGGCTCTCCTTTATGTGGCCTGTGATGTCTTCAGAGGGGCTTGCCGGACCTGCTTAAATCCCTCAAACCTAGTATTTATTGGGTGTATTCACATCAATGGGCGCCAGTTTGTAAGCCCAGCCGGTTTTGGTTCAGCTGCAGGTGAATTGGTGGTTACACTCTTTGGTGAACCTGATCCTGTGTAGCATTTATTTTTGCAGAAACACTCCCGTCATGCATGCCAGTTTTTTTGCACACATAATGCTGTTTTGGTTTTTACGGAAGAGGATGAGGGCCACTCTTCTTGACACATCCCACACATTTTTTCTCTTGTGGCCCTAATCCTCTTTCATAGATATTTGTGTGTTCTTCTCAACACACATATTTTAAACTGGAATGCAAGATTGCACTTTGTGTCACCAAAATGAGTCACAGCTTTTGTTTCGGGCATTGAGTCACAGGCTTCTGTATGTTTTGATTGATGAGTCCATGTCATGTGTCAATAGTGACATTTTGCTCTGATTGTTCACAGGAAAGGAGGGGCTTTGCCGGATGGGGTGTCCATGGTTGGAGAAAAACTAGTTTTTGGGCGGGCCCTGCACATGAATGACAGCGGGGTCTACGAGTGTGTGGTCAGGAACGAGGTGGGAGCAGGAGCAGCAGAGTTTACAGTAACAGTCACAGGTAAGTGCACTTCAGCTTTGTTACTAGTTAAAATCACAAAGGTTTTAAAGGGGAAACTCTCCGGCTACTGTATGCTTTGCTGGTATTGTAGAATAGGGACATGAGAGGACCAATACATGGATCTATAAGTACAATTGAGTTTTAAGATAAGACACTAGAGGCAACACTTTTTCAGTTTTGGGAGTTTGGGCTATTTTGCTTCTATAACATCCCTTCTTCCAGGTACATTTTTTTCTTCCAAATACACAATAAGGTGTTTATTTTAATACAATTCACAATCAAATGTTAAGATTTTTACGTTGCATATCTTTTAAGTGCATTTAAAAAAAGAATATTTAACTATAAGATAGTTAAGATAGATAACAGAAGATAACATAACTTCACTTAATGTAAGTAATAAACTGTGAAAGTCGTTGTCATATCAGTTAGCAAAAGTAAGTTCTCCTTTGGATTTGTAGTAATTGTGCACAATTGCTGCCCTCTAGTGGTGGATAGAAGGCATGAACAGATCAATCAGGATCAAAGATTCTGTATAACACGACATCACTGTAGTGTTTGTTGCTGTGTTTTATGTAAGAAAATCTCCTCATGTCTTCCTGTCCTTATCCTTCTTTCAGAGACCAGACGTCAGGGTGAGACCCCCGTCGAAAACCTGCTTCTGATCATCATCGGGGCGTCAGCCGGGGCGTTGGTCCTGGCGCTGGTCCTGGTCGTCCTGCTGGTTAACCGCTACCATCGACACAAAAACAAGAAGCTTGAGATGGAGCTCAGCGAGAAAACGTAAGCCGACCCACAAACGATGTTTTTTCCAGGAACTGAAATATACTTGTATTTATTTCCTGTAGTGTGATGACAGATGTGATGTGAATGTTGTTGTGGGAAACTGATGTTTAAAGTTCAAATTCGCTGTCTTTTTTCCCCAGGGATGAAATTCAAAGCTTCTCCAGACAAGCCTCCTTTAGGAGACTCAACTCAGTCAGCACAGACCCCAGAGTGCAGGTACACACATACATACATACATACATACATACATACATACATACATACATACATACATACATACATACATACATACATACATACATACATACATACATACATACATACATACATACAGTGTTCATAGACGTGCATTATTAATATCTCGTTCTGTGTGAATTTTATTTATCACTAACTTTTATTAACTCTCTTTTTGTTCCCCCAGTCTGAAGATTACGGCTTGCTCAGAGTAGACAGCCGAATGAAAAACAGCGAAATCTCTCTGGTGAGTCCAACACTCTATGACATTTAGTAGTCTCTGAACATTTCATGACATTACACCCCATCTTGCAAAAGGCCTCGCTCTTACCTATTGAAAACACTGTTGAAGGCGGACCTCTCCTCAAATTGATCCAATCTGGTAGAGCAAGCAATAATTTGCCGGAAACCCTGATCATCCAGCTATTCAATTTGATTTTATACAAACAACATACTGTTCTTTCCAAACTTTGCATAAATGAAAGATTATCCATCATGAAACTGCTGTCAAACATACTGTCCAAAACAACTTCTGATTTACCTGAAGTCCTGTTACTCAATATTCTTCATTCAGTATTCTGGATTCAATGGCAACATCACGTCCCATTCAAAGACAGAATTTTCTTTTAAGCGTTTTTCACTGCGAAAGTAAGAAACATCTGGTCTTGAGGATCGATTTTCCAAATTTTGAATGAAAAATATTTACAGTTGCTCCATTGGCATTGTTGAGATGAGTCAAAGTTTCAAGGCTTTTATTGTCATTTGTTCATAGCTACAGTGTAGTTATTATTGAAAATCTTAGGTCACAGGCTCCTCCAACAGTGAAACACAATAAAACGGATAAAATAGTACAAGTTAATGCAATAAAATAGAATATAATAGAAATAGAATATAATAGAAACAGTGCAGAATAGTCTATAATAATTGGAATATTGATATATATGAGTTGCAAACAGATGAATGTTACGTATGTTCTTTCAAAAGTTCAGGTTGAGGTTCAAACAGCTGTTTTCAGTGTTGTGACTGTTTGGGTCCGCTCCCTTTTAGGAACAGCCCATCTATCGAGGCAGCCAGTCCACTCTGGGGGGGAAGTGGGGGCCCTCGGGGGTGGTGGAGGTGGACGAACTGGGACGTCCCGTTGTCTGGCAAAACGGCAGGGAGAGCCTGAGAGGAGCAGAGCTGGAGGAGAAGGAGGAGCGCAGGAGGAGGGTGGAGTCGTACCTGAAGAGCAGCAACATGTCGCTGGTATGTGTCAGCACCTGAGGGATTACTCCATAAAGCAGCCAGTTTCGCTGCGGATGTGTCATACAGTATCGTGTTTTACTTACTGCCAAATTGGCATCATCACTGTCAGACATATTCATAGAAACAGGAGATGACACACTGCAGACAAACTTCATATTCAGCAGCTGGGATTTATTTTAGTACAAGTTCTTTGTCTGGTTAGCTCCGTCTGTTTTCCAAATCATCACCTTTTCTTTGATTTATGTACAAATAGGATAACATATACCAGTAGTAAAGTATACATGTGGTCTAAACTTTTGGACTGATTCCAGTGAATGCATCATAACCGTATTTAGTCTTTATTGCTACCTTGAACACAGTAAGGGTTTAATGCATTTTTTTCTTTGTGTGTTTGTGGTTTTTTAAGTTAAGTATCTGAATACAATTCACCCCCAGTGTTTTCAGGTCATTGTATATTGTCAGTTACATTTAACTAAGGACTTTTGGATCTTGTACCATTTTAATTTATGAAAAGGCATAGGCGTAAATTGTATCTACACCCAGACCTTTTATCATCAGAGAAACAGTAATGTGTTTTTATGCTGTCTAAACCAGGACTCAGGTCTGCCCTCTTCCCTGGTTCCCCTGAAGGCCCAGCAGGACGAAGGCGAGGGGCCCACACAGCCGGACCCGCCCCCCCCCAGAGAGGGAGACTCTCCACAGGGGGTGGGAGAGGACTGGCCCCCTCCCCCGGTGGTGGAGGGGCACGAGGAGGAGGTGGGCAGCAGCTCCTACATCTCAGAGGCCCTCAACAACCACTTCTACTACAGCAACGGGATCCTCAGGCCGAAGCCACACTCCAACGCCATCCTGCTGCACCCCCGAGGACAGATCATCTAAACACAGAACATTATGGCTTTATTAGACAGTGGAGAGATAATAGGAAATAAGGGCAAGGTTCCTTACCAGACAAGAACCAGAGATGTTATGGATGACCACCAGTGTGCCCAATATTCGGACATTTTTCTATCCTCATTAATTTGGTTGACAGCATGTTTTGCCTTTGTTAACCACAATAGCATGTAAATTAGAATTCATTTTCTCCTTGAACGTGTAAGGAATAAGGTTCCTGTTACAAGAATGTTTACTGTTTTAACTGCAGGGGGCCGAAATCACCCAACCTCTGCTCTGGTGACTTGTACATATGTAAATCCACAAAAGGGAGAGTCCCAATTTATCCTGACTGCCAACATAAGGTGCCTAGTTTACAATCCTTCAGGGAGGAACATCAAGACAGGGACACAGTTTCTGAGCTCTAATGCCTGGTCATATCAAGAGTCAACTGTCCTCAAAGCTTTGGTATTTTCAGCCTGGATGCAGCTGATGTGTGTGAATTTGTGTATGTAACATATGTATGTAAATAAGGAAGAGCTATAAGGAGATACTGTATAAATGTAAGTCATTAAAGGCCAACTACAAGAATGTCAAAAAGGGTGCAGACCTGAACACAGACGGTTACTCTATGGATACAAGCAGCTAACTGGTATCCATAACCAGACCCAAACAGCAGAGCAACGATCTGTATCAGCGTCTCGGTTGTGTCGAAATGTACATTTTTTGTTTTTCTATGAAATTGAAAAAGAGACATATACATGTTAAAAGGTTTATTTGTAAAAGTACAGCGTATGAGTCGTTGTTCTTTATTAAAACTTCAAACAATTTAGTTTGTGTTACCTCAAACATGAAGATGGAAGGATCATAGATCACAGCTGCTGCAGAAACGCAACATTTTTTAAACTTATATTAGATTTCCTGGTTTACAAGTTAACATCCTCATTATTTCTGATAACTGAAATAATGTTCATGTGTAGATTTGCAAAGTTAACCATCGTGCGAGAGGTGCGGGATGTCCCCACATGTTTGTTTTCTTTATGAATCTCTTAACTGGCTGGGTTAACGAACAGTACACAAGTCCAAACATGAGTCTTTACACTCCAACCTATGTCAAAGTTAAAATATATTTTAAAATAAAGAACAAATGCACAGTAAAATCAGTCAGCTACATTACTCTTTAGTATTATAAAAAGGGAATTGGTTAGTTCATCTCGACACACATAGTTCTAGCTTTTCGCACAACAATCTTCAAACTGCGTTTTGGTTAAGACTAGCCTCTCTGTGAGTCCGCTGGTGAGTGCGCAGGTTGCTCCTCTGAGAGAAACACTTTCCACACGTCTCGCATGTGTACGGCTTCTCTCCCGTGTGAATCCTCTGATGAATCTCCAGATGGCTGACGCGATCGAAGCTTTTACCGCAGAACGGGCAGATGTACCACTTCTCCTTAATGCGGCCACTCGCTATCGTTTTATGCAACTCGGGGTCGTTAAAAAGAAAGAATCGGCTGTCCGGGTTAAAAGCTGATAAGTCTTTAGTTGGAGATTGTTTATCTGGGCAGAACCTGATGGACACTCCTCTCTCTGGGTTTAATGCTTCTATAGTTTGACTTGGCTGAGCTTGGCTTAAAGTCATGGTTGATTTACTCGATGCACCTTGTCCATCATCCCTCATAAACCTGTCCGAGTACGCTGCCTCGGAGGAACTTTCAAAAATGTCCAAAGCGTTCTGAATGAGCAGGATTTCTGAGTCCAGATGTTGTGCCAGCTGCTTCGGCTCAAAGAAGCAGTCCGAGTCGTCCGCAGTGTCGCTGTCTCCCACGGAAACAGACGACCACTGCTGGCTCTCTTGTTCCTCCATCGCCTCGACAGGTTGGAGGTCCACTTCCAGCTCAAGGTGACCATCGTTAACGCTGTGATCCGTTTCCACAGTCTGCTCCACGATCTGAACGTCGTCCTCGTCCTCGAGCTTCACTATTAGGTCTTCATCGTCATCCTCGTCACTCAAACAGAGGTCCGACTTGAGCTGCTCACATTGTATCTCTTCTGTCTGTGATGGTGATGTTTGGTGATTCGCTGAAGTGTCCGCCTTCTCTCTGACGCTCTGATCAGAACACAATGTCTGCACTGAATCTAAAATCGGCCCTGAAATGACAAAGCAGGTGCATTTTATAACAGGCATTTAATTAGACAGCTCCATTGCAAAATATTGTTGTAAAGATATTTTTTTCTATGTGACAGATGTGCCAATTTTGGTCAAATCAACTGTAGTTAGTTTACAAAGACTGGTACACAAGTGAGTTGTTAAATTAGGATGATTCTGGTAGTATGTGCTTTAACAAAGGTGAAACTATTTAAATTTCAAGTGAGGTTTCAAAGCTTTCAGATCAACCAGTTTAGGTACAAAAGGGCCAACAAATGTTTCTGCCAGACTTGTGGTGTCTGTGGCTGTGACATAACGAACACAGTAAACATGTACTACAAATAGTGGTAGCAGGTAGACTACTATAACTATAAACAGTTGTAAAAGTGTAAAACGGATTTCATAATATCACAGAGAAAATCCATGAGAAAATCACCAAGACCTCAATGTTTGACATTTTTGCATGATAAATAACTTTTGATGATGGACACAATGACGTTTTGTTTCAACTCTAGAATATATCTGTTAAGTTGTACACCTCATGTATATTGTTTCATGTGAAAATAAGTTTGCACTAGTAACATTTTGAATGCAGGACTTTGAATTGTGACAGAGTATTCCTACACTCTGGTATTTCTACTTTTACTCCAGTACATTCTTTATTATTTATCGTTAGCAGTGGTGTAAAGTAACTTAGTAGATTTACTCCAGTACTGTACTCAAGTACAATTCTGAGGGACTTCACTTAGTATTTCAATGTTGTACTACTGTGTACTTCTACAAGTCACAGGAACAACATTGTGCATTTCTTCTCCACTACATTTATGTAATACCTTTAGTTACTATCCAGATCTGGATTAATGCTGTGAAATATAATCAAGTGTTAAATCAGACTTTAGTTCCACCTGGAGTAAATTCACAAGCTACCCTGCCGCATACAAAGTCATTCAAACTAGCTGCACCTTTACCAGCTTTGAGAACACTTTAATGATCAATCATTATAAAACATATCATATATATTATTCTGAAATGGACCAATCTGCACAATGACTACTTTTACTTTTGGAACTTTAAGTATATGTTGATGCTGATACTTTTGTAATTTTACTTAATATTTTGAAAGCAGGACTTTTACTTTACAAAGTACATTTCAAATTAGGTATTGCTACTTTTCCTTCAGTAAAGAATCGGAGTACTTCTCCCACCACTGCACAGCCCCCATGTCCCTGTTGCACATTTTTACATCAACTTCTGATGTGTTTAGAAATATTTATTCATTTTCTAAAAATAGTGCACAAAACCTAATTCTCCCCTGAGATAAATAAAGTATTCTGCTTGTGATGGATTCTGAGTCACTTGATTGGAAAAGGTTCTTCTCCTCTTCCTCTTGTACAACTATATTCACCCACTGTAGTTACATTTTGACTGCAGGCCTTTTACTTGTAACAGAGTATTCCTACACTCTAATACTTTTACTTTTGTACAAGATCTGAGTACTTTTTCCACCTCTGATCGTCATCCTTACCATCACCGTTGGGCGGCAGCAGCAGCACGTTATGTTGCTCTCTTTTGGAGGAAGATGATGAGGAAGATGATGATGAAGACAGACTTGTAGTGTGACACCGCTCTTTTTCCATCATCAGCAGCTTTCTGTTCAGAGCTTCAATCTCGCTCTCTCTGCGGCGCAGCTCCACCTGAACGAGGTTGAACCCGTCCTCCCACAGTTTACTGATCTCCACCACAGCAGCTTTAGCGAAGATCTCCATGATGGAGGTTAACTTGCTCTGGAAAACCACACAGTTGGTCGCCATGTTGTTTCCCTCTGCGGTGACGGGACGTGTTCACTAACTTTATATGTGCGACAAATCACACGACAGTGACAACGTCTGTGGTTTACATAACGGTTGCTGTTTGAGACGGAAAACATGGGAGTGTGATACAATAGTAACAGGAAATGGAAACTGGTCATGTGATTGAGGATCTACGGCGCGGGCGGAGGGACAAAAAGGCCTCAGCAGGAAATCGAAGGCTAAAAACAAACCACACATTCAGGCTCATCCGCACTCGTTTTGCAGAATAGACCCATTTAAGCAACATTTATGCACAATATATTTGTTATAATTGTATTATAATTATTGATGTATGAGCGTGTTCATCACTTTAATGTTGCACTTGGTAAATGTGCGGTTTCTTTGAATTAATGTTTACCATTGGGTAGCTTAACATATAATAATATATAATCATGTATACATTGATTTATATTTTGTATTAATTATCTGCAATGTAGCAAGTAAATAAATCTATGAAAATAAATGTAGTGGAGTAAAAAAATACAACATTTGCCAACAAAATGTAGTGGAGTAAAAGTATTAAGTAGCATAATGTGAACATACTCAATTAAAGTACAAGTGCAACCTTTCTATTATCTTAATCACAATGCTTGAGTAAATGCACTTCCTTAACACAACAAATAAACGGTTCATTACAAACTTTAATGATAAAGATGCTATGTAAAAAACATTAAATCCAAAATAATAAGATCCAATGTTTAAAATATACACCCATGTAAGGCCTATGTCAAAATATTGAGAAACGATGTCATATCATGGTGAATGGCTCTTAAGTCAAAATCTTAAGATACTAAGTCAGAAGTAATTAGATACTAAATTAATGAAAGGAGATACTAAGTCAAAATATTGAAAGTTTTATGTTTTATGCTAAGTCACTATTTAGAGGAAATGGGCATCCATAACAAACCATACATGTAAAATCCTCCTAAACACAGTACATACTAGCTTTATAACAACCTATAATGTTGTATGTATGTATGTATGTATGTATGTATGTATGTATGTATGTATGTATGTATGTATGTATGTATGTATGTATGTATGTATGTATGTATGTATGTATGTATGTATGTATGTATGTAGGGGAGAAAAAGGTAATTAAGCTTGTGGCAAAACACTGTTTGTGCTACCAGCTTGCTGTAGTTTCATTTCATTTCATTTCAATCTTTATTTCGAACAGATTAAAAAAACAAATAAAAAATAACAAATGTGAAAAAACAGAATACCGTATTGTTAAGATACAGTATTTATCCACATTCACGATAATATTTATATATTCAACAAAAAAAGTCTTCATATTAATAATAATAATAATAATTAAAAAGAAAAAAAATCATATGTGTCCGAAAGGGAGTAGGAGGAAGCAAATGCTTATTAATTCCCACCCCTTACTTGATCAATGATTGTCCTTTAAGTCATTATGCAAGTTATTCCTACTTACATTTACATTTATACATACATATACAATAATTTCTCATCTTCAATCACCTCTCTTCATTCTCATAGTTTTCCAAAAAAGTGTTTCTGTACATCCTTTTAAACTGAATTATGCTTGTGCTTTGTTTTAACTCCTGCTTCAAACCATTCCATAAAATCACCCCACAGATTGTTATACTCATACTTCTCAGAGTTGTTCTGACCTTGAGTTGTTTAAAATGTAGATTTCCTCTCAAATGATACCCACCCTCTCTGTCTATGAACAATGTTTTTAATTTCCTAGGAAGTAGATTATGTCTTGTTCTGTACATGATTTGTGCCGTTTTAAATTTAACCAGATCAGTGAACTTCAATATGTGTGACTTCAAAAATAATACATTAGTGTGTTCAAGATATCCAACATTATTGATAACTCTTATAGCCCTTTTTTGTAATGTGCATAACGGCTGTAGCTTGGTTTTGTACGTGTTTCCCCAAATCTCCACACAGTAAATCAGATATGGCAATATCAGTGTGTTATATAGAGTATACAATGAGTTGTAGTCCAGAATGTGTCTGGCTTTTCCCAATATTGCGATAGTCTTAGCCAGTTTTGCTTTGACATGAGTGATATGAGGTTTCCAGCTGATTTTGTGGTCTAAAACCACACCAAGGAACTTAATTTCATATACTCTTTCTATGTTTATGTTATCTAGTATTAATTGCACCTGTGGATTTGTTTTATGTTTTCCAAATAACATAATCTTTGTTTTGCTTATATTTAATGATAATTTGTTTGTGTCAAACCAATGTTTTACTTTAATCATTTCTGCTGTTATCACTTCCATTAGCTCTTTCAAATTGTCACCGGAACAAAAAATATTAGTGTCATCTGCAAATAAAATAAATTTCAATATATTTGATACTCTGCAAATGTCGTTGATGTATATTATGAACAGCTTTGGACCCAACACGGACCCCTGAGGTACTCCACAAGTTATGTTCATGTATTCTGATTTATGTTCACCAATTTCAACAAATTGTTGTCTGTTGCTTAAATAATCTCTCACCCAGTCTAATCCCACCCCTCTGATGCCATACCGTTCCAGTTTTGTCAGTAAAATATTGTGATCTATGGTGTCAAATGCTTTTTGTAAGTCTATAAATATTCCCACTGCTTGTTTTTTATTGTCCATGCAGTTTGCTATTTCCTCACTTAATTCCATTAGTGCCATAGATGTTGATCTATCTTTCCTGAATCCATATTGACTGTCGTCCAAAAGCTGATGTGTTTCCATGAAATTGTCAAGTCTTTTTGTACAAAGCTTTTCAAGGATCTTGGAAAACTGAGAGAGCAATGAAACAGGTCTGTAATTTGTGTAATGGTGTTTATCCCCAGTTTTATATAATGGTATAACTTTTGCTATTTTCATTTTATTTGGGAATTTACCAGATTGAAAAGACAAGTTAAAGAGATGAGTCAATGGTTTGAGTTTGATGTGTGCAGCCCATAGACTGTATATATACGGTGTAGCCGTGCTTCCTAATGTTGTCCACTAGATGAGGCTCTATTTCCATGAACACACAACAGCTGAGGTCAAGTCACCTTCTCTCAAAAGAAACACACTATTAAAGCATTGGCCAATTCTAATGCCATTAATGTATTTATTGGCCAATAAAAACCATATACTTTATTGTATTTCGGTCAATCTCAAACTGTGCAACACATTCAACCAGTGGCCATCTGTTAACATAATCCTTACAATAAAATAAAAACATTTCCCTTTAAGTTCTCCAATTTGTTGCCGATCAAAGAGCTTTGGTGAGACACAATAAAGATGGAAACTAACAAAAGCAGTTGCCAATGTGTTTGCATTCGGGAGCTAAAACTGTCAACTTTGCCAGAATAAGTCTGCCTCAAGTGTTTGAAGTGGTTTGAGCTAAAGTCATCTGTCAAAAAGTACTTTTTAGTGACAACATTTAAAAAATGAAAAATATGACATTTGTGTTACATGTTATGTTGCTGTATGCCTATGTGTACCCTTGTAAAGCACTGTTAACTGCATGCAATAGAAGTGATGGACAACTAAAATGTGCAAATTGTAAAAAAAAAACGTTATGTTGATGATTCTGTCCTTTGAATCTTCTTTTTAAGTAAACTTCAAAAACTTCCCATTTGAAATATTTGTGAAAATGTTATTTATTTTTAATAGTTAATGTGAATTATTATTATCATTATCATCATCATTGTTATAATTATTATAATTATGTTGTTGTTGTTATTATTATAATCATTATCATCATTATTAAATAAAAATCCCATGTATTATTATTATTATTAACCGTTAAAGGGGTTTAACACGCCTGGCCATTGATTGGTTAATCCACCTGCCAATCAAACGTGGGCGGGGCCAGTGGGAGTTTACTCGGGTGAGAGCGAAGAGACGACGGAGCTGTCAAACAGCAACAATCGCCTGAAATATTATCCCGGGCGGTACAACAAACATCGTACTTTGCTCTTTTGTGGAAACAAGGACGACAGGAGCAGTCTTCGAGTTCGCCTTTAGCATTAACCCTAAGGAAATCTTGACTTTTAAACGGTTGGCGACGAAAAACTTCCTGTTTAGTGTTTGTTGGTGGTTCTCAGGCTAATGTTTGTTAGCTCTTCGCTTAGCTCGAGTTTTGTTGACAAACTAGCATTCCTTGCTAGTTTCTGAGCAGCTGCGTTTCCAGCTTCAGGGGGTCGTGGTCGTTGTTTTGACAAGTGCTGTAAAGTTGGGAAAGGCATGTGGGGACCCCGCTTGAGTTATTCATGCAAACATCTCCATGAAATGATAACAGGTAAGTCAGTTTTACATTTTTACAACGAGTTCAACATGATACTGACTGCTTTGGTTTGTTTACACAGAGGTGGAAGAAGTACTCAGATCTTGTACTTAAGTAAAAGTAGAAATACCGTAGGAATACTCGTAAAAGTCCTGTATTAAAAATGCTATTCAAGCAAAACTGGTAGCACACACTTCGGGCAAGCATCTAACAGAACAACCGTTACATTTTAGATCACATGTATAATCTCATTTTTAGCAATAGTATAAATCGGGATTCTTGAAAAAAAACTTGACTATGAAGTATTTGGTACACTGCGTAGACCTATGTGTGCATGTCATTGGTATTCAACCTGTTATCAGGCACATAGATGACAAATCATTGATTTTGCTGCTTGTCGTTTTTAAGAAACAGCCATTTAATGCTATAGACTTCTACTAAAATATAATGACATTTAGTCAAAATACTAAATGGAACAAGGATAACTCAACGAAAATGTTGACCAATCTTGAACATTATTAAGATTTGTGCCACCCCACAAACTATACCAAAATAGTCCGTTTCAGGTCAGGAATGGGTTAATATGACTTATCAAGCTGTCTTGGCAGCATTAACTCATTAACTGTCTCTGGTATCCAGATAATGAGCAGGTTTTTTCTCTGCCCCATGGACTTGTTCATTACTTTAAACCCTTGAGGAATGACAGGTATGCAGCGGCTCATATATCTTTGCAATTCAACACAATAGATTGTGGTCAGATAAGAGGCTTCTATTCACTTTTGTTGAATGTGACCTTGCTCAAATACTTGGTATAATTGCTCTTTTAGTGAATGGAGGTCCCTCAACTATTTCACTCACATGAGAAAAGGTCAGCAGATTACTAAAACACAGATTATTTTATTAATAGACCCCTGAAAGGATCAGTAGATATTCTCACGTTTAAATGAGTGTGATTTGTTTTATCTTCATTCGTGATGCACGTACACAGTATTTCTCTCTAACAAGTAACTGTCCCTCACACACATTCACACATGCCCCTGTAATACCTCTTGCCCTTCAGAGACACACCAACCCTGGCTGCACCCTATCATTACAACATCACTTAAGTTTTTGATTTATTGCTGACGTTTTCTATTAGTCTGTAATCCAGCGGGACGCAGCTGGATAGTGTTCAGTCCCCAACACTACTGTTAAAACATATGGCCTGAGGCGGCTTCGGAGATGTCCCATCTGTTTTGGAGTAGCAACAAGCCACATTTTATAGACCGGCTTTAAAAATTCCACCCTTTTCCATGAAGAGGGCCTTTGCTGTGGTGTCTTAAATGCATGTCTTTTGGATATGTAGGCAACAGGGTTTGGTTTAGAAACAAATATAGTTATGTACACTGGTGGCTTGCCTATTCTGCCTTTTTTAGCATCACGATGATATTCCTCAGCATAACTAATTTAGCTCATGTTGCTCAACATTACAGGTGTGATATGATCCTATTTCTATTTGTAAACTATGTTGTGTCTTAGGTCGTCTTCCCTGTAGTTTGGGATGTTTGTTTACCGGCTGATGCTGCGTGATGTGTGTTTACTGCAGAAGTGGGTGTAACAAAATATTTTGGTTGTCAGTTTACTGCTTTACGCTGGAAACATCATCCTGAATGAAGGATGATTTCCCCCCACCCGCTGTGACTTGTAGAGTAACACAGAATTGTGCGTTCTTATTTGTTTGCATCATTTGCATCACTGAAATTCTAGTAAGCGTAGGAAGGTTGTGTTCCTGATGTGGGTGTGTGGGTACAGAAGCTCTTCTCTGTTGCTGCTGGCTGTTTTGAATCAAGGGGGATTTTTATATCTTTCCTTGCTGACCTATTCTGGTCTCAGATACAACGAGAGAGGTACAGTGTGCCTCTGATCCCGCTGTGGGTCTGGATGGGAAAGCTGCTGAAATGAAAAAGCAAAGCCTCGGCCCTAGTACTTGTGGCTTGCATTTTTATTGGCGCTGGTACTTTTTATTTCTGTCGTACCACTTCAACAAGGAAGAAAATGAAGTGTTATTGCAGAGAACAAGGATAGAAAAGCCTTTTAAGGATGTTGCTGGGACAGAGAATGATGTCAGGAGTCGTCCAGTAGATCTACTCTCTACTCTAGTGTCTGTGATGTAATGCTAACGGTACACAGCAGAATCTGGCTGTCTCATATCAAAGCTGTTTTTAGTATCTGATCTCATGAGACCTCTCCTTTGCCTAGGATTCACTGTTGTGTTTCTGCGTTAGTTTATTATAGGCCGCTTCAGTGTATTTCCTTTAATTTTGCTGCAACTACTCCCCATTTACTGGAAAATGTCTTTTGTACACACTTAACATTTCTGACAACCTCCGTCATATAACAGCATTGTGTTGCATGTAAGTACATCAATCTCAGGGTACGGGATGGCAGGCTTTGTAGTATTAAAACCAATAGTGTGAATGGACCGTGACTGTTTTATGATGCACATTTGCTCACTGCGAGGCACTAGTACTAAGGGATAGTTCAACATCAAAGGAAAAGTTAGTCATTGTTTAACTTCCATTATTTAAAAGCAGTTAAAGTTACATTTTGACAGAAGTGTAACTCTACGTCAGCTTTCTTAAACACAACTGAAGTGGATGAAAAACACCCATCTATTATTATTGACCTATTAGTCCGCTTATCCATTACAGGGGCTATTTGGAGTTTGCTTCTGATTAAACTGAAGTTATGTTTACAACTCGGGTAACTCAGCAAAGTCGAGTTTTACTCAACTTTTCTTCCATTGTAGAAAATATATTCACGACGTGACTCAACGTGTCTTATCAACCAAATAGATCTTTCCCTGGAATAAAGTTAGATATGAATGCCGCATTGTTTGAGGGTAAAGACCTTTAGTCATGGACCTCCTTTCCTGTTACCCTTTGTACCCTGCTGATTTTGTTTTGGATGGCAGAAAGGTCCAGGACCTGAGCTATTCCTTGGCTAATCTCCCATAATTGGACAATCGGCCCCTATTACAGCCATTACATTTGGGCCTGTTGAGCAATAGTGGCTTGTCTCATCCATCCTAGGCCAGTCTGCAGCTGCTAATACACCTTTATTATCATTTAGGATTATTAATTATTGTTTTTATTTCTTTAGGTGTCCAAGGGTTTTCTATACATCTTTCAAACATGTGAAAACCCTCTCCTCCTGGTGGACTCTCCAGTTACAAGCAGCGAGGAACAAGTAGGAGACATCTTGGATCCAGCCACTGTGTCACCAGGCGCTCCCTAAACACACCAGTTTCAACTTAAGTCTACGTGCGTGACACATTTTCTCCCAGGAAACAAACGTAGTAAAGTCCCTGCGCCTCTCAAACAATCCTGTCCTCATGTCATGTGGGTACATCACAGAAAAAACCCCATATTACCAGCATCATCTTTTACGCCATGGACCGAAATAAACGCAATTCCATCGCTGGGATCCCGACGCGACCCGAACGCATCAACGAGGACAGAGATGGTGTCGGAGGCGTAGGGGGCTTTGAGATGGGCTTTGAGATGGGCCCGCCTCCACAGGTCAGTCGCTGTTTATTCTTCATATTTATATTAACATGTAGATACATTTCACAGGTGCAGAGCGATGCTCGGCAATATGGAGAAAATCCAATATCACAATATTTCTGATCAAATACCCTGATGTCGATATATTGCGTCAATATTGTTGTGCGGACAAATGGTGCTTTCTACAAAAATATTAACACAATTATATTTTCGATAAATAGCCATCATTATGTGTTAATTATTGCTAAATTAGTAAAAAAATAAATATGAACTACCTGAACAGTCCGGTAAGTTCAGTAAAAATAACACCACTTTACTGCGTTTGAAACAAGGAAAAGACACTTGTGCAATATTACAATTGTAAGACGATATGTAGTCTCATATCACAATGTCAATATAATATCTATATGTATTTCCTAGCCATAGAGCAGAGCTACATACTGTAACAGTATACAAGGTTTCAGTGCAGACATATTGAAGGTTCAAAAAGTATTTCAATAATTAATTATGTAATTTCCACTTTCCTGAAAGCTCTGGATAAAGAAACAAAACAAGCACAATGTAGAGCTCTGACACAATCAAAACAATCATGTCTCTGGGCCTGTTAGAGTTGATGCATTTGGTCCAAGGCCAAGTTGGACCGAGTTGGTTCAAGTCCGGGTCGGTTGTTGTCCGCAGTCAGGAGGGAAAATCAGTCATACATTACGAGAGGTTTGAGGATTAATATTGTTGTTGCCAAACGTTCTGATAAAGATTGTTGTTGTTTGTCTATCACTATTAAACAACGTGCCATCAATGGAACAATGTGTGCTCATGAGATAAATATAATGCGATATGACCAAAAACATCCATGCCTGTCCATCAACAATTTCACACATATTTTTCAATGTTTCCCAAGCTATTTTGTACAAATTGTTTCGTAGTTGAGCAACAAAGAGCACTGTTGATTGATTAAGCTCAAATATTCAGTTTATCACTATTTCATGTCCTTTTCTTTTTATGTCTTTAAGGGGCCCTATTAGGCTTATTTGAGTTTTCCCGTCCCTGTACTGTGTAACACTCACACTTCTATTAACTAGCGCTCCAACACATTGTACGTGATAGGCTAAGGGGCTGGACATCTCTAAGCGGTTGACCAATCACAACAAAGCCGGCCAGCTAACCAATCAGAGCAGACTGGGCTCTGGTTTCAGACAGAGGGGGAAAAGAGGGGCAGTATGAGAAAAATAAAATAGCTTTTTGAACATTAAAGCATGGAGACATGTCACAATACAAATATCCTCCTGAAAATGAGCATGATAGGGCCCCTTTAAGTGTACTATGTGTTGCAATTTTGTATCCTGGAAACATTTTCATTGACAACGCTGAAGCCATTGTCCAAATGACCTTGAATAAAACCTTTGAATGTTTTAGTATAAGTACACACTAGAGTCCATGTTTTTTTCCACAAGGTTTTGGGGGTGCAAGGTTTGTGCGGTTTCCTTGAGATATGATGTTAACGTGTTGAAACGAGTCTGTTCATGTGTTCTCCAGGTGGGCCGGGTGTGGCCCTCGTCCTACAGAGCCCTCATCAGTGCCTTCTCCTGTCTCACACGCCTTGATGACTTCACCTGTGAGTGGATCGGCTCTGGATTCTTCTCTGATGTCTTCAAAGTGGGTGGAGATCACAGTAACTTATAATTTCTTTCCACGGATTCCTCAGGCTGTCCTTGACTTTCTGACCTTTTTCTATCCCTTCGTTTTGTTTTTAGATCCATTTTTTTTAATTCATGCCTCACTTTCCATCCATGGTGTTTTATAATAGACTAGACAGACATTAGATAACACATAATCATTTGACCTCATGATCGATTTGGTTTTTCCCCTGCTACTGTACGTGACAAAAGCCATGTGCCTTTTATGCAATGGTCAAGATTAATAGTCATAGAAATAAAAAGGGGAACTTGTTGTGCATGGCCCTCCACAGGAAGCATTTAATTTGATCGTGTCAAGTTGATATGCTTCGCGGGTCAAAGGCTGATTGTTTCTGGGCTATCTTGGTCTTCACTCACCAGTTTTTTCTGGACATTTTTAGGTCAAGTTAGACTGCGATCACTTCAAAGACATCACTTGCACATGGAGTTGTTAACCCTGTTGTCTTCTCCCTCCAGGCATGTGAGTGGAAGTCACACATGCATGTTTGGTGTTATTAGTCTGGTTGGTTAGGTTAGGTGAAGCCCCTCTTTAAGCAAGAATCAGCAGATACATTTTATTTCCCTTATTTTGTCTTTTTAACAAGAGAACTATGACTTTAGTTTAGTGTGTGTATAGCAGTGTGAAAAGACCACTCGTATAGGAAATAGCTCAACGAATCGATAATGGCGTTGATGGACTGATAGCTTTTGATTTTAAGTTGGTTTGTTTTGACTTCTGGATGCGCACCACTATGCAAGACTGACCCTGTGTTATGTAAAGGTTTAACGCACAGAATAAACTTCCCAAGTATGGGGGAAGGGTTGCGGCCCCTCTATACACGAAGGGAAATAATCAGATTAATTGAAATAATGGCCTAGATGGACGACATTAAGCCAGGCTCAGTCTTAATTCATATTTTTTTTATATCAGATTGCAGTTTAATTAACAACGGTTTATTGTCACTCTTTGTGTACTGGAATTGTTCTATGGTCTGAGCGCAGAATAATAAGCCTTCTACTGTTACAGTGAATGTTTAATGTATGGAGAAGTTCTTTGAAATTGAGAATCCATTGTGTTTCTCTCTCACGCTACATCTAAGGGTTGGGCTGATGGATGATAATGATGATTGTTTCTGACAGCTGTTGGGATTGCCCAGGCTAATCTGAAAGATCTGTATTTAAGAAAAACGTGGTATCTTCTAAAGATTTTATAAAGCATATTCAAAACAACTGTTTATTTAAAGCTATTGTGCTCTAGGAGGCAACAGGATGTAAACACTGGAGCTTATCAGAACGTACATTACTGCAAGTGAGTGAAATAACAGCACAATCATTAAATTGTCTAACTAAGAATGCAGCTAGTAATAGTAATAATCCTATCTAGGTACATATTGCACATAAGTGTTTTCGCACAACATTGGTATTATAGTCTTTGTTTAATGATACATTTACCGCATGTATCAGTGAGTAAAACAAGTATGAGATTAAACCGTTTTTGCTGCTGTTTTAAAAAATGCTTTTCAACTTTAGTGTTTTGTTTGTGCTCAAGTGAAGTAGCTGTCGAAATACTCTCCATAACTTTCTGCCATATCAGATAAATACTGACTTCTCCATAGATGTTATTACAAAAAAACAACACTTGTAGACTAAACCATGACTCTGCCATTTTAAACACTGTCGGTCACACACTATTCAAGACACGTTATTAAACTGTAGAAAAACATGACAACCGTTTATTACAAGGAGAGTAAAGTTGTTGTTATAAATTGTCTAGCATATGGCTAGGCGTGTTTTAAACTATATGTGCGCCATGTAGCTTTATCATTTAAGAAATTCTATTATATAATATATTTGGATAATGACTGCAGCGGATCGTTGTGAGTTTATTTGATTCAGATCGGTGTGAAAACTCTAATAGAAGCAGCTCGTCTCCAACTTATCTACATCTTGGATGGACCATTTAAGTCCATATTTTGACCAGCTAATCCAAATGAGGCTCTTGTAAATGTTTGGAGAAAGGTTTACATTTCCAACACACATAATCAAGCTTTTGTGGGCCGTGCTTCCCGTGTGCAGTTTGTAATAATAACCTCTGCCTGTAGTTGGGTAATGGAAATATCTGTTAATACCTTTTATTCTGCGAGAAAGAGGAATGCATAGGTAAACAGAGAGAGAAGAGGAAATGGAGCAGAATGATGAAAAGCTTAAAGTCAAGGGGGATGACAGACAGAGGCGGGAACAAAAAGGCGATGAAATTAATGGTGACAGAGGTTGAGGGTGAGAGGAGGAGGAATCGGAGGGGAAAACGCTTCTGATGTTAAGGAGATGTGGTGGTACGCCTGATGAAAAGGATAACAAATAGGGATTAGTATTTTGGAATAAAGTTCTGGAAAAGATTGATTTATGGCGCATTTCCACTACAGCGCGGTTTAAGCGTGCCGTGCCCGGCCCGTTTTTGGTTGCATTTCCACGAGACGTAGTTCCGGCTAGCGGGTACTTTTTCACAGTTTTCTGGCTCTCCAAAATCGAGGTTCTTTCCGGGCCAACAACTGGGCTGAGTATGCTAAACTAGTGAGAGAATCGCTGGCAACTACAACAAAATGAACATATTTGACCGTGATTTAATTGTAATACACGTTTCAAAATGATGCCGAAGTAACAACATACTGATACCGGTTAGTAAAAACCATAAATTAATGCTTTGACAAGTCTGCAGACAGACGGCAGGCGAAAAACCTTTTAAAATACGTGTTTTCTAAATGGAGATCGGCTAAGCTAACGTTGTATATGCTCCGACCGTCCACACTCACAACAACGGCCTATACAGACATAAATAAAGCAGCGACTGTATTCACCATGACACAGGCAGTCTGTGGTTTGTAGCTCTGAGTGCTAACAGCTAACAGCTGATGTTGGTTTTGTGGTTCGCATTGAAGATGACGCCACGGCTCCGCCTACACTGCGTTACTATAGTTACTACCCCAGTTCCTAAACTGTAATGGAAACGCAGCATAAAGTGAGCCTGGCCTACCAAGGCCTAACTATACCGTACTAAGCCGTGCGAGGCCCTGCAGTGGAAATGCGCCATTAAGAGGTTTTCTAGAGCTTGGGTTCGGGGGAGGAGGAGAAAAAGGAGAAAGGGTTTTGGAAGAAAAGACATATTTTCCAGAAATGAGCAGTTTGGTGAAGAGGAGATGTTACATTTGTATTTTTAATGTTATTCCATTATGTTTATTTATTATGTTCCTTTCTGTTGTCTTATTATTAAGTGTTAATGATGATGTAAAGCACTTTGAATTGCCTCTGTGTCTGAACATGTGCTATATAAATAAACGTACCTTACCTAAAGAAGTGAGGGTGCAAGAAGGCAGGGGTCAATGAGGTAAAAAGACGAATTTGGGGTTTACTACTGGGGGAGATGAGGATTAACAACGAGGGATTGTTGGAGGCCGTAGGGTGGAGGGGAAAGAGGGGGATCAGGACTACATGCAGATGGGGGGATGTGAGGAATGGGGGGTCGGAGGAGGATAGACGGATGTGGGGGAGGAGGCCTTCAGAGGAGTGGCCATCTGTTGTTTCGGCTGTCCTGTGGTGGAGGCTGTCGGCTCCTATAGCCAGCCCCTTCCTTTGAACTTGAACAGAGCGATGTCTGTGTCTGTATACGAGACAGAAACACTGAGCGAGAAGAAACACAGAACAACTCTTAAAATCTGAAATAGGGTTTTAGAGGTATTGACAGAAACTGTGATATCTAAAAAATGAACTGTTGAGCTCATGTTAATAATACAGATATATATAGGGGAAATAATCCAGCGCCCTTTTAATCTCACTATTTGTCATTGCTCTTTTTGTACAGTTACGGTAACAGACTAACTCTCTACATCCCTAAACCTGTATTTTAATTTTCAGTGTAATAATTGTGCCAAAAAAGGGACAAAGTTTAAGATGAATCTGACTGATGGCATTATTATTATTATTATTATTATTATTATTATTATTTTATCTTTGTATTTTTACATATTTTTTAGGCTTTACAAAGATATTTCGATAACATTGTTATGGGGAATTTATTTTGCTATGATAATCATGTAATAAGAACATCTGATATCAGCCCTAATCTGAATTAAAATGATTTTTCTATTTAATATTGACAATTCGCTAACCTTTCAACTTCAGAAAGCTCTCCAAATACCAATATTGCAGTATAGCAAACAGTTTTGTCCATTACCTGTCACTGTTAACGCCTCATATATAACCCTCGTTGACCTTCTCCCGTCCCCTTCCTGCTGAAAGTGATACGGCCCGTCCATTGTGCCGTACTCAGTGTACTGTGGCTCTGATGATGGAAGAGAGCCATTGTTACAAGATGATGTAAAGCTGCCCACTGTTGCACTGAAAATGACTCACAGCCTTCAGTGGAACTCAACGAAGTATATTCGTGCAAGAACTACTTGGAAATACTTGTCCATTAATACATTATTTCCATTAAATACAACTTTACTCCACTACAGTTCAGAGGGAAATAACGAACTTTTTACTCCACTACATTAATCTGATTGCTTTAGTGACTAGTTACTTTTTAGATTACAATAAGTCAGACCCTTCCTGCCACCTGTATCTCCAAATGCGGCGATTTTAAGTAAAATACCTGATAAACTAAAGGCAAGGCAAGGCAAGTTTATTTATATAGCACATTTCAACACAAGGCAATTCAAAGTGCTTTACAAAAATGAAGGACATTAATAGCATAAAGAAACATATTATAAAATGATATCTAAAAACACTAATTTAAAAGCAAAGATACATGAATCACAGTTACAGTGCAGTGTGAGATACACACATCTGAACGAACCCCCCTTTGGAAAATTAGAATCTGACCCCATGGTACCTTTTAGTTTTCGCCGAAATTCCTCTTTTTTATTTTTAAATGTACATAGTTAAATTTACCTTGTCTTTCTAGGACTTTTTTGGTATCCTCCGTGAACCAGGGTCTTGAAACCAAAACGGATTCCTGTACCCCATGGTACCTTTTTAGTTTTCGCCAAAACTATTCCTCTTTTCTTTAAATGCACATAGTTAAGTTTAAGTTGTCTTTTCTAGGACTTTTTTGGTGTCCTCCGCGAACCAGGGTCTTGAAACCAAAACGGCACACGTAGGGGACTTTAACCACCTACGAGGGGACTTTAACCACCTACGAGGGGACTTTAACCCCAATAATGACTTTAATTACCTTTGGGGGGACAAGGCAATTCAAAGTGCTTTACAAAAATGAAAGACATTATAAAGTGTAAAAGTTTAAATTAGCACAACCTTAATAACCACAGGGGTTAAATGCAACATGCACAATAATGCAGCAGTAAACCCAAACACATCATGTATAATAGTAGAACACTGACAGGTAACTTTTTTAATTATACTTTTGACACTTTGAGTACACCTTGCTGATGAAACTACTGTATTAAGGTGTTAATGCCAGTCTTTTAATCTATAATAACATGTTAACTTATATTTACAGTATGTTATCAGTTATTTTAAGAAAGTGAAGGATCTGAACATTTCCAAAATGGTTTTCAGGATTTCTATAGCCTGCACTGCTGTCTTCTGAGAGCGCTGTTTACAATGTTTACCCTAAGAAAAAAAGGTTATCCAAATTATGTAACACCACTTATTGTTAAGCGATACATCATTAATCTAATCATATGTTATTATTTCTATTTTCCACAACATAACATACTGCACCACAAGGCCACATTAGCAGTCACCTTTCATTATTTACATCATGTCTGGTGTGGTTCAAAGTAAACAAGGTGTTAATGTGTAATGTTCAAAGTGCTAGATAGATATAGCCTTAGCTTTCATGCTCTGTTTTGCATCACGTATGTACGGTATGATGCTTCCGAAAGATTTCATGTACTCATGAACTTCTGATAATGTTTGAATATGCTCTTTGTTGCTGAAGGCACAGTGGGGATGACTTTAGCCTTCTCACACGTCTGTTTCTGCTGTCAGGAAGTGAGCGACAAAGTGTTTGCTGCAGCTCAGTCTTCTCATGTGCTACCTTCCGTGGTTTGCCGGTTGATATATCCTTTTTGCATGCATATCAATGTATCAAGAAGAAACCTGAATTCTTGGTATTTGATGAGTCACGCAGTCGCTAAGACCTGCGGTGGGAAGACCTCAGGTCACTTTACAATTTCAAAGACTGTGAGGTGATATGGGATATGAAGAGACAAACACAATTTCTGTATTTACAACCAACATGTACAGCAAGTCAACTCTTTATATGCTGCATTAGAGAGATGAACTCTGTTAAGTGCTTTTACAAAGGCTTTATTAAATGAATTGGAGTTCATTTGGGAACGTATTGTTTATGAGTTAATACTTCAATTGAATCTTTAAATGTAATGTAACTTTTTAAAACATTACGCAGCTTTTTCTATGAGTCAAAATGGATACAAAAAGCATGTTGGGAGTTTATTTTTGCCATACCACCACTTCACACTACTTTTAAGACTTTTTTTTAAACCTAGCCTAACAACACGCGCCATTAACTGTAATCAGTCAATGTTTACGTCTATCATTTGGCTTATTTGTAATATTTTGTAATCTCCATTATACAGTAATTGAGCAATATTATGACCCTGCAAACAGTTGAGAAACAGAACCGCCTCGCTTCTCTTGTTGTAGCCACATGTGAGCTGTTTTAAACATCAGCAGGAAGAGCTTCAGTGTTGTCTTCATGTTGTGACCTGTCTACAGTATTTGTGCCTCCCACACAAAGCATGCTGGGATAACTCCAGCCAACCATGGATAGATGCATCCGTGGTTATACCACCACCATGTAACGATTGGATGGAAACTGAAATCCCAATGCACCATAATAAACATTGATTGTTCAGCTCCGGATCGACACGTCTACTCATGGCTGGTCGATGACCTCATTTCACTTCTCTTTTATTAGCTGCCTTCCTTTTATACTTCCTCTGTTTCTTGCTGCATGAGTCATATTATTAATATTATTATTTACAAGTTTCCAATAAAGAACTTGTTCAAGCACTTTTCATATTGACCCAAGTTAAATGTGTTTACTTGCAGCCACCATAATACAGTTAATTAGTTATAAGGATTTAGCCTTTCTTTAGTTGACCGTATCCGCAACATGTTCAAATGACTTGACTGTTTTGCAGGTTCGTCATCGAGCCACAGACCAGGTTATGGCGATGAAGATGAACAAAATCAGCAGCAACAGAGCCAACATGTTGAGAGAAGTCCAACTCATGAACCGGCTCTGCCATCCCAACATACTCAGGTGGGTAACACATGTACTTTATCAAAGGGGTTTACAGAAAAAAATCAAATTGATTCAGAAAATATACAATGTTAATTTCGACATCATTCTACAGTAAAGAACCACCAAAACTCATCTGGGACCATTTAAATATATCTTATAAAACAAAATAACTGTGTGATGTTATTCCTACTTGATTATTGCATCACTACGCTAAGTCAGCTAGATAATTGGCCCTCGTGTGAGAAACTGATTATTGGCAGTAATTGTCTTTGCACGTGATCCTAATCGCCTGTTGTCACTTTACCATAACAAGAGTTTAGGCCACTCAATGACTACTCATAGTAAATTAAGAGTTTGTTTCTCGACATGTCATATTAGTCATGTCCTTAACACCTGCCACTTTCGGTTATAAAATATTTATTATATTAAAGTCTGCCTCTGCCTCTCTCTGCTCTCACACACTGAGTCTGTGGTTGTGACCCGTTTCCTTTGGGGTTGAAACTGTGTCAAACCCTCAGCCTATTAACAATGGAGTTTTAAGCTGCCAGCTCCTGTTATAGCTGCAGCAGCAGCTGCCTGAAGGCAAAGAGTGACGAGGACCCTTTCAAGGCTATGAACAATCAGGTTAATATTTTAGAGATTTGCAGTCAATCATTGGTCAAAAGCAAGATTCATTGTAAGCCCCTTAATCCTGGCTCTGTGGTCCTGAAGTGACACTTTTTTGTGTCTGTTTTGTCTCCCTTCGTACATGTCTGACTTAAGATGGAGCCCTCAACAGCAACGATTTTAGGAGGAGCTGCATCATTTAACTGAATATTTGTATGAGCTTTTAAACCTCAATACCAAAAGCACAGACAGTCAAAATATGATGAAACCTAGTGGAAGTTGCAACATTGTGGATTTATTCAAAACAAAACTTGTCGTTAGGTAATTAAGATACTGAAAGTGTGAGCTTTAAATGCAGTGAAAACAGTGTTTATTGCATAATGCAGAATATTATGCACAAGCCTAGTGACAGCAGGGACACAATTGTTCTTTGTGTAATTGTTTGGCTGTTATTTTATTGCTTTTAACTTTTAAGCTATATGCCTTTTCTTCAAGTTCATAGAATAGTTTAATCAGTTAAAAGCCTTGTACCAAAACATATTCTGGTACTTTTAATAAATATAAACCCAGAAGGTCTCTTTAGGAAGCACTCAGCTCATATCAAGCAGAACCAAACCCAGTGACGCTGCACACAACCGTCTAATAACCTTAAAAGCACCACTTTTTATTTTATGGCCTTTGTATAAAATGATTGTATTTGAATGTATTTTCATTTTTAATTCTGTTCTGAAACGCTGCTCTGAAGGACTCCCTCGTTACGTAAAAGCCCTTTAAACAGCCTCTGTATTTAAAGGTAACAAACATGCCTTGCCTTGAGTTTTATGACAGGAAAAGGAAAAGCCTGCACTAAATAAAACTTTATAGAAATGAGAACACAAATGATCCCCGAAGAGTGTTGTTGTTTTTTTGTAGTAAACACATTTTCTGTCAAGTTCACATTCAGCCATGCGTTCCAGGGCGGGAGAGTGTGTGTTTACGAACATGCACATACATGCATCAAATGTGTGTGTGTGTACTCGTGCATACACACACGCAGCATCTTTCACAATGCCATCTTTGTTAAACCCAGAGGATTGTGAGTGTGTGTGTGTGTGTTCGTTAACAAGCAGACACTGAGGGGCTCATTGTTAGCTCAAACCCAACAAGGACCCACAAAGTTGACCTTCAGAATTACGAGGCCCTTAACGCCACTCTTGAACAAAGTTGGTTTATACGTTGCTCTGCACACTTTGTTTTGTTTGGGCCGAGGCTGTGCATGGTCTTTTCTGGATATTTTCCGACTTTTAAAAATGTAATTAGTTAACAGAAAATGCATTTTATGAAGCTAAGGCAAGTCAAAGCTCCTGCTTGTGTTTTTATTGTAGAACTTGATAGGCCAGGTAGAGGCAGAATGGAAGGAATGCAGGTGAAGTAACTGAGCTGTTATTATACTCCTGCTAACAGACACTTAGCACTTGTCTGGTCTTGCTGCAGGAATCTTAATTGTTTGTTAACTATTCTTCCTGCTTTCTCTGTTTACTCACACAGAGAAGGTCAAGCAAGTTTTTCGATGTTTCAACATTATTATACTCTATATAACCCTTTAGACGTGTAAGTGCTTGAACTAAGCTCAACAAATTGAAGGCGTTTTTTTTCATTTGCACAATAGCTAGAGCTTAATTTTGGCAATGCACATCCTAACTCTCAAGCTCTACTTAACATACATAAGACGGATCATTTTGTCAAATAGGTTGCAGATATAAGAGCAATATGAACATCTAAGTAGGATAAAAAGATCAAACAAAATGTACAAATTAACTACTATAGTGAAACTAAAAGGTTGTATATGTTATCTGAGTGTCAACCTCAATCATCTGATTCAATTACATTTTTTAACAAATGTTCTTGTGCTATCTCAAATATTAAATCATGTCTTTTTTATATTTTTATTTTAAGAAATGATTTGGTTACAAGGCATACATAACAAAGGGAACGCTTAAACACATTAAATAAATACAAAACAATGGAAAAAAAGGATTGACAATAATTTATACTGTAAACCAGTGCTTCTCAAACTTTTTTCAATAATGTACCCTCTTTGAAATAAAGATGTCAGCCAAGTACCCCCTGATCAGCGCAAAAACGATTTGTTAGGGACAAAAAGCCTATATAAAGAGGTACAGTACAGCGCTGCACCATCAGGGTCTGATTTATTAAAACAACAACATTGTAACTGAGAAACACTTCAATGCTACATTTCAAATGTTTACAATCCATCACTAAATTCATGGCAAACCAATTTTAACATCATGCAATAACACTGAGACGACATTAGTTGCATTGAACTGATCTTTTTAATAAGTTGTACTTACAATGTAGTGAGAAACATGGGCTTGTGCTTCACTGAGGATCTTTGTCATTCTGACAGGGAGGCAACCTGCAGTTATTACACTTCGTGTTTTGAAATATGTGTAACTCTATTAATATAAAACCCACACTGCTCAAACTTCGTTACTTTTCCTAAAATTGGTATATTTATTTATTTATGTTGGGGCGTGGGGAATGAAGAGAAAAAAAGATATGAGCATTTTATGAGCATGGGATTTTGACCCCTCATATAAACATACAGTATGCATAATGCTGCGCTATACTTTGCGGCCACACGCCGTTGCCAAGCAACGCTTATTGTTTAGGTCCTTTGATAAGCAGGCAGTCAGATCATTAGCTAGAACTAGCTAGATCTGACGCGAGAGAGAAATCAGAGATCAGATCAGCTGCTGCTGACGGAGAACACGCAGCTCTTCCGGATCACAGCTCCCCCCGCTGTGACGGACCGTTGAACGGAGCAAAACACACTAAGAGTTAGACCTAACACACTTAGCTAGTTTATCTACTCTGGAACTAGCTATACTAGTATATTTATTCTTTACTGTCGGGTCACTTATTACAGGTTCAGCGAGCTGCACGAGACTGACCGGCTGTCAGGAGAGGGAGAGGAAAAGAGAGCACCCCGTTTATTTTTCCCATTTTATTATCCAGAATTACTGTAAACTTTTGAATAAAGTAGTTAATCTACTATTAGTAGTTTGTTTAAATGCATTACTTAAGTTTTTTTTTTTTCATTGACATAAAATAAATCTCACGTACCCCCTGCAGTACTCCAACATACCCCCATTTGAGAACCACTACTGTAAGATATAACAAACACATAACGGATACTGTATAACATTAATACTCATACATACATAGTTGTCACTTCTTACCCCCTGGTCATTATTAATGATTTGTGTTCTATAACTCACCCATTTCCCCATCTTTCATCAAAAATAGGAACTTGGTTTCTTATTGTTATGGTTATTTTTTCCATCCCACACATTTCATTTACTAGATTCATCCACTGTGTGGTAATCACGTTATTATCTTTAAGCCAGTTCCTTGTAATTTGTTTAGTAAATTGCTCTTCTTATTACATTGTTAAATATTGACTTATGTTTTGTGGTTTTGCAGGTTCAAGGGTGTGTGCGTCCATGAGGGCCAGCTCCACGCTCTGACAGAGGTAGGAAACACATCCTTTCACATTAAAGCTTCTGAGATCAAAGTGTCTCCACTAATGAAAGGTAGAGCGCCGGTGTGAGACTATGATCTGGTACTTCATGTGAACTCATGCAGCCATGTGTTAGTAAATGTTCCTACCATGTTCAGGTGGACATCACATCATCAGTGAACACAACACAGAAACACGCTGGTCTGTAATTGTGGAAAACCAAAAGAACTGAATGTTCTTAGGTATATATAAAACACTTAGGTTGTGTATTTATTTTTATGTTGGTTTGTCTGTGTGAGAGAGAGAGAGAGAGGGAGAGAGAGAAAGAGGGAGGGACAATTTGATATAGAGAGATAATAAAATTCTCTAGAGATACTTAATGTTAGGACAAACACCGTGTGTGTGTGTGTGTGTGTGTGTGTGTGTGTGTGTGTGTGTGTGTGTGTGTGTGTGTGTGTGTGTGTGTGTGTGTGTGTGTGTGTGTGTGTGTGTGTGTGTGTGTGTGTGTGTGTGTGTGTGTGTGTGTGTGTGTGTGTGTGTGTGTGTGTGTGTGTGTGTGTGTGTGTGTGTGTGTGTGTGTGTGTGTGTGTGTGTGTGTGTGTGTGTGTGTGTGTGTGTGTGTGTGTGTGTGTGTGTGTGTGTGTGTGTGTGTGTGTGTGTGTGTGTGTGTGTGTGACAAAAAAAAATGCAATTATCAGACAATTACTTGTTGAGTTGATCACAGAACATTTATTAATGAGAACTGCTGCTATTAATATTTGGGTTAGTATGGATGCTTCACATTGGACATTGGATTATAATTATAATTGTGTAAGCTGCAGCTCTAGTTTCTTGCTTCCCCCCCTGCTGGTAATGCACAAAATCAACTATTCATTTATGGTTAAAATCATGTTTTAATTAGAGTTCCTGAGCTGTGGTCGGATTCTTCCTTATCCTGTTGCCTTTATATTCACACTCAAACTACACAATAACACATTCATAGGAAATGCCCACACCTTCAAACATTCAACAGTTGACCCAGGCTCTCAGGAAGCATCTCTGTAAACACGTTAGTGTGGCAATGCATGTAAATGTGCAACAAAACACACAATTCATCCTCCATGAAGAAAGCATACACTGTTAAAGCGGCTTCCAGGCGCACACACACGTCTGTGATTACACTGTTGTATTGCTCGATGAATGTGCTTATTGTAGCCTCCACAGACAAAGACAAACATCAACTCTCTGCAGTTGCATAAGAGACGCCACTTATGCCAAAGTTACACACACACACACACACACACACACACACACACACACACACACACACACACACACACACACACACACACACACACACACACACACACACGTTTCTTCCTATACTGTGATTGCAAAGTCAATCCATGCATTGTATAACACACACACACACACACACACACATGACTACACGCTCCCTCGCTGCGGTAGGTCTTGTTTTCCCGCTGCGGGGTAAACAGATCCTGTTGTGTCGTGTCAGGACCGAACTGAAGGCTCTGACCCTGCAGCAGGCTCATGCTGTTTTGTTACCTGACCCCCACTATGCGGCCGCGCTCAGAGGAAATGGAGAATTACGATACTGCTTGGCCCCTCCAGAAACTCGCCGTCTCCCACACACAGACGCATGCAGGCAACCCAAAAATAAACCTGATTGATCTACTCATGACTTTTGTGTTTGTTTTAGCATTAAGGAAAGCCAAGAGTGTGCAACCCCACAGCTTTTGGACAATGCTTCACGTCTTATTTAAGAAGCCAAAACCATGAGGCTGTTATCCGAGCAGTGTTCCCTCTGATTTTAGTTTTATTGGTCAGCTCAGATTCAGTCTCCTCAGACTGTGTTGAGCGCTGAGGTGTCTCCGCATTTCTTTGAGCGCTGTTTACCAACTGCTACCGTGTAATCATTACATCACCTGCTCTGACAAACTCTTTTTATACTGTATGGTGTCATTGTCCACAGCTTAACTGCATACAAAACACAGATTCAAAACAGTGATTTTACAATTTTCCGTTTTGACCTATTAGAAAACATATATCACGAGCTTATGGAGTTTTCCGGTTGTTGTTTTAATGGTATGAAACATAGTTACAAATATAACGCACATTTAAGCACCAATGTTTGGATACGTTTTGCTGCACACTTTCCCACCTTGGGTCTTCCTCATCTGAATCTCGATATCGTTCACGTTATAGGAAATGTTCCTACGATTATAATCTGTGCTAATGGTTTTTCATGACCCATGCGAGGATTACTTTGCCGTTTGAAGCGGTTCCTGGAACTAAACAGGGATCCTTTTGTTTGAGTCTTTCCAGGGTTTTTAACCTGAAACAGGGACAGTGAAGCGCAATTTCCGCAAGCATATGCTTCTCATTTCCTTAGCAATCTAGGATAATACATGATCATTGCGAGTCACGGATGTAGCGCTCAAGTATGTGCTATGTTGTGTGATTATCCTGGTGTATCAGGAGCTAGACAAATAGCATAAATCTGGGGAAACAGGCTCTTTTAAAATGTGTCTTTACTCCAATTGAGTTAACTTTTAGTTGACACAGCAGGTGCACTCGTCCGCTTAACTATGTGATTTGCATATTGGAGCAGGCACCCTTTGCACTTCTGCATATTCTGTCAGCGTGAGAAAACAACGGGTGCTGTCTAGATCTTAAATGAGATGATGAAGGAATGATGTCGGATTAGTTTTAATTGTCTCCAGAGGGGTTTTTCCATCTCCACCAGGCAGACAACAGATGTTGAATTCTGTGGCTACTGAGGAATTTGTTTGACAAATACTCTAATCCTCTGATCTCTTCAGTGTGTGTGTGTGTGTGTGTGTGTGTGTGTGTGTGTGTGTGTGTGTGTGTGTGTGTGTGTGTGTGTGTGTGTGTGTGTGTGTGTGTGTGTGTGTGTGTGTGTGTGTGTGTGTGTGTGTGTGTGTGTGTGTGTGTGTGTGTGTGTGTGTGTGTGTGTGTGTGTGTGTGTGTGTGTGTGTGTGTGTGGTGTGTGTGTGTGTGTGTGTGTGTGTGTGTGGTGTGTGTGTGTGTGTGTGTGTGGGTGTGTGTGTGTGTGTGTGTGTGTGTGTGTGTGGTGTGTGTGTGTGTGTGTGTGTGTGTGTGTGTGTGTGTGTGTGTGTGTGTGTGTGTGTGTGTGAACAATTGATGGTATAAAACTGCAGGGAAATCAACATTTAGGACGTGTCAACGTATTGCTTTTTTAAACAAATTCTATGATGACCTTTTCACTGTTTTTAAGTAATGGCAATACAAATCGTTATGGGGAATAGAAATCATGGATAGCTTTTCATACATAACAAAATACTGTACCTCTATGGATCGCTTAATAATATGCACTGTTTGATACTCCCTTTTCACATTCAAATGTTCCTTTCTTTCTTTGTTTTACAGTATTTAAGTGGAGGCTGCAAATAAGCCCAGTGGGTTTTTTTTTTGCATTTTTTTGCCTGCATTTGTTTTCTGGTGTAGTTAAAAATGGGTCAAAATGATAATAAAAACATAATAAACAAATAACATGAATATACAATTTTGTCTGAAATCTTAATTAGTATGTAAAATAAAATACAAATTAGTGCATTTGGCATAAAGATTGTTAGTTTCTGGTGAAATATTTGTATTGAATGTTTCACTGTGGGATCTAATGACAAAACAATGCATTTAAATAGTACTTCGTTTTGCATTATTTACTTCAGCACAGCACATGTAAGACAGTAGTTGATCAGACTTCTTATGTTCATCAGTTGTAATTTTTGCAAAAACCTGACATTATGTGACATCAGATTTCTGACTGTAGTGTGGCGAAGCATGTTTTCCATATAAAGGATCCTGGGCTCTTATCCAAAGGGAATATAAACAGCATCAAGCTAGTTATTTTTTTCATATTTTGTTTGTAATTAACTCCCAAGTATTATATGGAGGGATACCATCTTGAAGACAGCTTTGATTGAAAACATCGTCTCTGCTCTTGAGGGGCTGAATCATCACAGTACTTAGGATTTGAGTGGTCTTCAGAGATGGTGTGACAAGGGATGTACGTCTGCTTTGAGCTGTAAAAGGCACGCAGAGCTTAGGAGAAATAATGATTTTTTTTTTGTAGAAAGGCCTCTCATTTAGTTAGATAGATAGATCTTTGTCTGATGTTATATTCATCTTGGTCATCTAACACCTATAACAACTATGAAAAAAATATGCTAAGGTTATCTGGAAATTTGTATTACTCTGGGTTCAGTTAATTCAATCGCGTGAAGAAGTGGAGACATCCTCCGCTCGCTCTCAGCCTGTCCTAATTCTCAGTCAGTCATACCGCTAACCACAGCTAAACCAGACCATCCCTTTATCCCGTCTCAGCTCTATCTAGTTAACCACTTTTTCGTGATATGTGGATGTGAGATTAGTGTGTCTGTGTGTTTGCATGCAAGAAGCAAGGTCAGACGAGTTATTCTGGATCAAAGCTGACAGACACAGTGAAAGACCCCGGATATTTTAAACCCCCTGAGCTGATTTGTCGTCTTGGCAACCCAATCAATCTGCAGCCTGATCAGACGCTCCCCATTCACGCACGTATGAAACTAGCAGCCAGTTTAATAATCTGCCAGCCACATTTTCCGATTGCTCGATACACCAGCCAGCCCTCAGGCCGCCCGCCCGCCTGTAACCCAAACAACGCTCCACTCTGTGAGCTAGAGAGGTTGGTTTATGTAACGCAGTTAGTAATGACCTCTCTGTAGATAAGTGTGTCACCAGTTGACCAATGATTTTTCAAGCCATCTAACCAGTCTGCTGTTTCTGTCATTGGCAACAGAGACTGTACCGCTGCTATAATTAAGAGTATTCACGCTACATTAGCCATATCTCAAATTGAGTTTCTGTGAAATATGGTTTCACATCTACAGAGCGATAGACAAATGCAGAAATGCTGTCGGTCAATGAATGTTTTGCTAACGTTTTTGTTAATCTTTTTTCAATCCATCGATTATGAAGCACATTGGTCGTGTTCAATTTATTTCTTTGATCCATTTAATGGCACAGCACCATTTTTTTTTTTAAAGAGGCCCTTTTATGCTTTTGGGGTTTCCCTTTTCTGTTGTGTGTTTTATAAGTTTGTGTGTGTGTAAATGGTCTGCTAAGGCTAAAATCCCAAAGTCTCTCTCCCACACTTCTCTCCCCGAACCCCCCTCCCCCCACCTGAAACCCCTCCATTGGACTCCTTTGTTTCTTTGTTTACTTCTGTACTTCATAGTGACATCACTATGTAACATGTGTGCTTCTAATAGCTAGCACTCCAATAACAGAGTGGGCCAGCTAGCCAATCGGAGCAGACTGGGCTCTGGTTTCAGACGGAGGGTGAAAAGAGGTGCTGCAGCACAGGCAGTATGATAAAAATAAAGAGCTTTTTGAACATTAAAGCATGGAGACATGTCACAGGAGAGACACTACATACGAATATGAACCTGAAAATAATCATAGTGTATTCTATTTAATATTAAAGACTGGAATTGTGTTATATACATTCAAGTCAAATGTAATCAGTTCCTTTATTGTGTGTCAATATTTTTGCAAATATGTACCTACTCATTTATCTGTGTGTTTCAATTTGTCTTTCTCCAGTACATAAATGGTGGAAACCTGGAGCAGCTTCTAGACGGAAACAAGCATCTGAGTTGGCCCATGAGGGTGAAGCTTGCCTGCGACATCGCCAGCGGCCTGGCTTACTTGCACTCCAAAGGCATATTCCACCGGGACCTCACCTCCAAGGTTAGCTACGCGGGCTAATTGGTCGTTAAGAGGAGAAACCCTCGCTGCAAATAGACCTGCAGGCTTTATTGTAGAGCACAGAGTTTCCTTTAGGAGATTATTGTACAGTACATATTCAAATATTCTCTGTTGACAGCTCATTATCTGTGCTTGGTTCCAGGATAATGTGCCACACTCTGTATTTAGATTTGGGTTGGATGCAAATGTCAAAGATGCTAGGCCTGTTAACACTTGCTCTTTCACTCTTAGCCCCATTGACCTCTCTGTAAAGAACACACAGTCAGATGTGATAATCTGCACCAGGAGGCTTGTCGTTTTCCAACTTGACCCACAGCCATGTTGGCAGTAAACAGGGACAGTGTGCACCCTGCTGTAAACTCATGTCTATCTGTAGAAGAATAAAAACAAGTGCCCAGAGAAATTAAAGAAAGGTTTAGGTTTTATAGACGGACAACAGTTTTGCCGTTTGAGGGTTAAATGTTGTGGTTTAACTTCTCAGATTAAACTTCCTGAAAATAATACAAAGTCCATTTGCTGATGACTCACACCTCACAGGACAAAGCACCCTTTTTTTTCTTTTTATATTCTCATTATGTCTGTGTACATGCTATATAGAGCTTCATATAGACATACCCTTCTGTTGTAAAGGAGTTGTAATCTATAAATCCACTCACAAGTACAAGAGAGGCTATGACGCAGAGACATTAAAGGAAAGGTGACAGTTTTAAGACATAAGTGAACAATAGTTTTTCTTCAACCTTTATTTATTCAGGAGGAGTTACACTTGGAGCAATAGTCTCTTTTAACAGAAACGCCTTGATCACATTTACACAGTTAAACATTCACAACTGGAAGCAGCCCAGTACTACCACAGTCTCATCTACTTCCCACTGAGCGGTTTTTACAAACACATTAATTAAGTACCGTAGTCATGAGGAATATAATATATGTCAGCTCACATCAGTATTCGTGGGTACCAAATGAGTCGTAAGCATTGCACACATGGTTTGTACAATAACGACAGTATTGCAACAAATGAAAACAGTATATTAAGAGTAGTTCCTTTTTAAGGTTAAGAGGAAGAGTCCAAACATTACAGGAATGCATTTTGTAATGTCTTGGTAATTCCCATTTTCTGACATTTGAATGAAAATAATACCGAAAGCTTAAGTCCAATCAGGAAGTGGAGGTTTGAGAGATACAGTAATATCATTTTCTTTCTTGGTGTCTCAACTTCCTCAACTGAACATGTGATAATATTGATAATGTTTTTGCAGAACTGCCTGATAAAGTGTGAGGACAACGGTTACTCAGCAGTGGTGGGAGACTTCGGCCTGGCAGAGAAGATCCCCACCAATCTGTAAGGAGTTCAGCAGATAATACTGATAAACATACACAGTCTTAGATCAGAAATTAAATGATGTCCAGGATTTTGACGAAAGAGAGAAACCTTTTGGAAGCTAACTGCTTTACTATGCATTACATAAATCATGAATAACCATCACCCGACTTTTGCTACAGAGCTGTGTAGCCTCTTTTAGATAAAGTATTTGGTTTTAAGCGGCACAATTAGTCTTCATTTGAGTCCAAGTGTTAACCAGCTCCCGAGGGCCCACGTGTTGTAAACTTCCTGCCAATCAACAGACAGTAAACGGAGAACTAGTCAGTGTCCCAACATTTAATTTGAGCATTTAGCAGTTAAAAAAAGCGAAAATAGGACTTGTGAGGTGGTGATACACGACTTCAACTAAATGCTAATGCTATGTCTGCTTCATGTGTGACAAGACCATTGTTTATTTGTATGTAAAGAATAATAATTTAATAATCTAGTCTTGTGAATTTGGTGTGGTAGTGAACCTTTGATATTTCATCTGCCCCCTAGTGATCAAAACGTTACCAGGTTTCGTCAGCAAAACCATTTTTTTAGCTCCAAAACAAAAATACTCTCATAAAAATAGTTTTCGCATTCATGATGTTTTTAATTCGGTTAATGCTAAATGCTAAAGTAGGTTTTTTTTCCTAATTTGATCAATTATTCACCATAGTGCGCTTGTTATTGTTCTGCGATGTTTTTGTTCCGACAGCTATTTGTGAGAGTTTTCCTCGTCCTCATGCCAGGCGCACGGTTATTTATTAACACGTGTCTGGCACTGACATTAATAGCAGGCTGTAGAGTTCACATTCTCAACCTTAGTGTTTTGATAACAGGGGGATACTATCGGTGTACTAGCGTAATGACGGGGGGAGATCGTTTTCTGAAATGTCTTTGGGAACAGAGTTGATACGACTTAGCCTAATGTGAATATATATAACCCTGTACACCTCGTGTATGTTGCTTGGTAAAACATGTAGGAATAATGCACTGAATGTAGCCACACCTATTACTTTTACTATGTATAAGGAGGTTGGGTTTACTAGGAAGTGACACATCTACTTTGCACACAGATTTGATATTAAACTGGTCTTACTCAAACGTAATCCATACAAAGAAAAAGCTTCTGAATTTAAAGGATTAGCGATTAGGAGTCATTAAACCGACTTGTAAAAACCTATTGAGACAGCAGTCGTTCTCGGCACTGGTAAAACTTAAAAGTCCAATGATGTGTTCATACTAGGTTGAATACACAGAGCAAGCGGGTCATTTTGATTAAGAAAAGCCAGAACAGAGTGTACTCATCGGCTCCTTTTATCTATCAGTTCGTTCCTATTGACATGACAGAGGCAGATTAAAGACATTCCTTCACACACTCCCACAAACGCTCTCAACAAAATTAACATCAAGTCTTCTCTTCCTACACAGTTTTATTCCACTACCTCACCACAAACACAAAGTTCACGAGTCGACTCAAAGCTTCTGAAGATTAATCATCTGTCTCCAACGGCTTCTTATTCAACAATAGACCAAATGCATTAACCTGTTGTTCATAATCTCTGTGTGTGTGTGTGTGTGTTTAGTGCCGAAGTGGAGAAACTGTCCGTGGTTGGTTCTCCTTTCTGGATGGCTCCAGAGGTTCTGAGAGACGAGCCGTACAACGAGAAGGTAGTCCCACACGTTCACCTCCAAACTAAAGTGGCAATTAGTGAAATAAGCTAAAATGGTGAAGATAATAATCTCAAAAAGGGTTAAATTACTTCTGTTTTAAACTTAAACTGTGGTTGTCTTTGTTGGATTCCTACCTGGAGACTTGAAAGATATACTTTTTTCAGTTTTAATTGTTGTTTTCCTATAGTTTGGAGAATGTTTATCATGAAGTTCGTAGTTATTTTGCCGTGACAATTGAGGTCTTGACCAGGGGCGATGTGATTGGATAACTGGAGGGCTATTTTCTTAATAGGCCTTTTTTAAGAATATATTATTATTACTTTCTGCCCTCCAGCTATAACCAACTAATTTATTATGTTGTACCTTGTCTGTATGAATTGTCTGGATTACTATTAAAGTAGTTAAATAATAAAATGGAAAAAGATCTGTTGAAATACAGACGCACAGTTTCCATTTATCATAGTATATCTGGAAATGTGTGTAAATAAGAGTTTATATTTCAAATGGGGAGTTCAGAATGTTTGGTACAATTTTAATAATATCCCCACAAATGTTTCACGTTATATCAACAAGACGTTTTTGTTGATTTCGTGACTTCATGTGTATCTGTCTCCAGGCCGATGTGTTCTCCTATGGGATCGTCCTGTGTGAGATCATAGCGAGGGTGCAGGCCGACCCTGACTTCCTCCCCCGCACAGAGGTGAGTCCTCATCCTCCTCTCACCCATGTCTCACCCTGTGATCACTCCTTCTGCATGTTTGCTTTGTACACAGCTTGATCTGTTGGTGTCACATGATAATTCACACCCTGTTGATACTGTGCAACATTCACATGATTCTGAGGAGCTTAGAGTACTTTTGTTTTTTTAGATTCTCCAAGAATAGGGAGTTGATTTTTATAAACACAACCTGGGTAATATTTGTCGTCTGGCAGATATTATAGATCCATTATATCTTATAATATACAATATTAGTATTTGTGGAAATGTCATCTAACAGAGAGGGATTTGTTAATCAATTTTACTGCTTAGTATAAACATCACAATCATTTATTAACTGAACTTAAGGGAGCCTTTTTAAAACTATTTTTTACAAATGTGGGCTATTGCTATTAAAGGTAGGGTAGGTAAGTTTGAGAAACCAGCTCGAGATCGCTAGAATTTGAAAATACACAACCGGAGAAAATCTGCCACTTCCTTACAGAGCCCCTCCTCCAACACACACGAACGCGCACATGACCAATGAGGGCACGAGATAAGTTTGTGCCCCGATGGAAGGCTGACAGGCAGGTAGGCCATCCAGTTATTTTAGCCGGGCCGGCTAAAATGATTGGTCGTACTTTTTACAGTACTACGGCTTCCACAGATTACATTTTGTTATGGATTTTTTGTCAAAGCACTTAAGATATTCATTGCTATCGGGATGTTAAGAGCATTCCATGGAATATAACAAAAAGTGTATCTCGAGCCGGTTTCTCAAACTTACCTACCCTACCTTTAAGAGGCACATTTTGATAATCATTCAAATATCAATGGCTTCAAAAAATGTCTTCTTTTGACTTGTTTTTCATACACTTAATTGCACGAATACCCTTTGGATATTTTTGTGTGTGTGTCTTTCTATATAAAACGTCCTTTTTTGAAACCAGCAGAGCATTTTCTCCATCTCACAGCCTGTGTTTTCTAATATTTTAGTCGACAAAATGTGAACTTGGCAGTCAGCAGGGCCGTGTCCGAGGGATTAGTTTGACACAGAGCGGGTTTTGGCAGGAGAGTTGCGGGATGTCAAACATCTGATGACGCTCTGTCCATCTCTGTCTTTATCCCACTTCTAGAATCATAAATACCAATTTCCTGTTTAACATTCATATATCCAAATCTGTCTGTCTCTCCGTGTTCTTTCCCCTCCTGCAGAACTTCGGCCTGGACTATCACACGTTCCAGCACATGGTGGGAGACTGTCCGCCCGACTTCCTGCAGCTGGCCTTCAACTGCTGCAATGTGAGTCTGTTTTTTAACATCTGTGATTCTGAGTGATTTACAGTATTGCAATATTAAAGGTCACCTATTATGCAAAATCCACTTTTTCATGTCTCTTCTACATCAACATGTGTCCCTTCTGTGTAAAGAGACTCTGAAAGTTTCAGGAAAAAAGATTCTCTCTCTTTTTGTCCTGATCCATTTATATAAAAACCTGTCTGAAAATGAGCTGATCAGATTTTGGCCACTTTATGATGTCATAACGATGTTTTGGCTTGTGTAACTATTAGCCAATCAGCAACCAAGGTGACCCCCCCTTATCACCTGAATCTCTTCCTAGAGCACCATTGTGTTCTTTTTAACCAAATCTCTCTCAGAGGGGCGTGGGGAGGGGCTCCTTATTTTCATCTAAAGTAACAGACAGAGAATCAGCACTTTTGAAACAGGGCTGAAACAGAGGGGATTATGGGATGCTGCAATGATCTGTTTGGTATTTGGAGCCAAACACATGTTCTGTATATATCTGAGACCTATAATATATTGATGAAAAACAGTATAATAGGGGACCTTTAAGGTCAAAACGGCTCAACCAATTGAAAATCTGCTTAAAGATTGTAGGTCAACCCTTAAAATAGCTCTATAAATCAACCTAACATAATATACTAAGGCTTGCCGACCACATTGTCTCTGATCCCTACCATGTGCTGATCAGTAAAAATGAATTGTTGCCATCTAAGCAGATTCAGGGTCCCAGTAAGCCTGTAAAGAGCTCTTTTGTGCTCCAATCAATCTTGAAAATGCAGAGGTAATCCCAGATTAAATGTGTGTTAAAGAGTCTTAAACATATTGTCTTCAGTGATTGTAATGTTATGTTTGTTCTTGTTGACTTGATCTCACATAAAAGTATTTTCATATCATATCGCATCGTAGTGTGGTGTAGCGTATCACATTCGTATCATATTGCATATATTGTAACGTAGTGCATTTTATCACATCGTATACATTGTTGAAACAATCCCTTTGTAATTGTGATAGCATTTTTTTAAACTAAATGTTTACGACCAACTTTTCTTTGGGACATTTACCGAATGGCTTGTCTTTTTTTCTTGATTCCCATAGTTTTATTTTTAATTTCTTAAGTAACTTTTGTTTGAAAAAGAGGGGCAATCTGATTATCTAAATAATCTGATTTAGCTCACTATCCGGGGGGTATTTTACTCACTAAAAGCCGGATCAGTTACTAGGTAGATTTGGCTTTTCTCTGTATCCATGCAGTCATTTGCTGTTAAATTGAGCAACTAATGAAATGAGTGTGTGGGAACATTAAGTTAATTAAACCAAAGTAAATACAGACTCTTTTTTAAGAGTTTAGTTTGGCTCAAGCATTAATCACTGTACTCTAATTGAGTTAAGTTTACTATAATTGAGTTAATTTTACTATAATTGAGTTAATTTTACATCATTTTAATGTATTACAGATTTTGGGCCCCCCGCTGACTGATCCTGTATTTGCTCCATCTCTCTTCCTCCTGTCTGTTGTCTCGCTTTTATCATCCTTTTCTCCTTTATCAGTTCACCATAGTCTTTCTCCAGAGTACTGTAATTACTGTAAGTTGTTTAATACAAGTTGTAGGAGCCATTTCCTTAGATTATATTATCTTATCTTTTTACAGTACATAACCTGAGATTCTGTGGTGTATATTATTTATTATTTAATTTGAGTGTGTTACTCTGCAGGTCGAGATGCTGCAGCATAAAAGGAGAGGTGCTGCAGCCTACTGGTGTGGCTGACTGAAGCAAACAGTTTTTAGACCTTGCTGGTTGGGAGCGTCACAGCTTGGTTCTTGTGCCTTTAACATTGAAATAGCAGTTTATATGGCAAATAGTAGTGATGGCGAGATGAAGCTTTGAAGCTTTCCAGCCACTTGGTTCACAAAAGGGTTCATCTCATGAGGCTTCATCATGGGCACAAACCCCCTGTTGGTCAAAGTGTGTAAAACAGGCAGATTGGACATCTCAACAGTGTGCTCTATCTCATACCGAGTTCCCAATGAGTAAAGCCTTAGAATAACTCTAAACAACGAACATACAACCATATTTTCATGTTAACAATATTGTTTTTATTCCAGTTGAATGATTGTGATTGAAAAGCCTAAGGAGGCTGGTAAACATTGCAAAGAGGGATTTGTATTCCTTAATAATATTCATAAACTTAACCATGTTGTAGCCTGAGAAAGGCTAAACCATATCAAAGAATACATTTATTAACTACATTATCTCATTTAGCTGTAGCTTTTATAAACAACAAAAAATACGTATTGTTCAGTCGTTGAACCTGGGACCCTGCGGTCGTGAGTCAACTGCTTTCCAGCTGAGCCACAGCACACACGCTGAATCTCCCTGAAAACACTGCACCATATTTATTCCTGTATTTATTCATGTTTTTATTCCTTCATTTATTTATGCTTGTATCTATTTATACTTACTTACATGTTCCGACCTCTATATAAGTGAGGGTCTGAGCTCTTTTAATTCCATCGTGTCACCAGCGGGCCCGGGCACAGGAGGGGTAATATGGTTCTTATTATACATCCATGGGTATTATGAGCGTTGTGGTTCAACGGTTCAACCGATCTGAATCGCTTCCTGAAGCAGTCACGTGGTATCGACAGGCAGCGATACATGCTTCACAAAAAGCTTCGGGGATTACTCGACACACGCTCCGAAGCCTCGGCGCAATACGTAACATCACTAGCAAATAGTTTGTTTAAAAATGTTTATTTATTTTTGCCTTTTTTGGAATAAACTATCTTACTTTTTCAATCGCATCTGGACATTTATATTTTTTCTCTCAAACTACAAGCGTCTATTCGTCGGTCAGCCCAGGGCCGGCTCTAGACAATTTGCAGCCCTAGGCGAGATTTTAGCTGTGTTGCCCCTCTTCATGTTGTGATTCAGTGAAGTTCTAATTCTCGTTCAAGCCGTGAGCGTGCGCGACACGCGAAACACAAATGGACAGAACCAAAGAAAACATAGAGAGGGGTGGTGCAGTGTTTGGGGCGCCCCTACGTTTTATTTTTCATATTCTCAAAAAAACATATGAATCCTGATCTGAGGGGCGCCTAAAAGAATAATAATCTGGGTGGCGCCTACAAAAATAATAATATATACATATAAAAAAAAAAAAAACACCCCTGCGCTCCCTCTACAGTTCAGCGCCCTAGGCGAAAATCTATAACGCCAGTGTGGCGGGCCGGCCCTGGGTCAGCCCCACGAGTGAATCACAAACAAAGGACAAAAAACAAATGGATATCGTGGTCACTACAACAGTCTAAAAACGTGCTTTTGGATAAAAAACCGGAGGAAAAGTTTGTGAAGGAGCAGCGGCATCCAGACAAAGGAACAATGGAGACTGCGCAAACCAGGAAACGCCACAGGGGTAAATAAAGTTCAGAAGTCTCAAAAGTCTACAAATTGTGGAAAGAACTGGATGGATTGAAATTATTCCGTTAAGAAAGACACATATCTTAATTAAGGAGCACTATTGGAGTGACTTTGATGGACATTGAAACGGAATTATTTAATTTGGATGTCCGCCGTGTAATATAATTACTGAACGGCGCAAGCAGACACACTACAGCATTGAACTATCAGAAAATAACTTTCTAAAGTGTGCCGATTCATAAATGCTGATATAAAAGTGGAAAATAATCAGCAAAATGAATGAAAAGGAACTGATTGGAGCAGCTGTGGCAAATCTGAGTCCAACTGAAGCCCAAATGGAGGGGGATGATGTTTCAAGCCTGCGTTTATCCAGACAAGCCAGATTGGGACACCTTACGCGCAGAAGCAACATTATTAAGGAGTTAACGGAGGACCGCATGAATGCAGAGGAAGTGCAGGAGAATATGGTCAATAATGCTTTGACGTAAAGTTTTAAAGACTCACTTGTCATATCACATACTTTTAAACGAGGAAGAAGAAAAACGTGAGAGTGAAGCTTGGTTTCAATTGAAATTGACTAGCATTGAAGAGTTTATTATTTTTGTGACAAGATGGCTGTCAACAGGAAAGGAGGATTCTCTTTGGGAAAGTGCGTCTGGAGTCTCCAAAAGATCTCAAAGAAGTGAACGTTCATCAAGTTCATCTGCTCGCATCCGTGCAGAAGCAGAGAAAGCTGCGCTAATGGCAAAACTAACTTCATTAAGGACCAAGCATGCTTTGGAGGAGGAGGAGCAGGAGCTAAGTACACTCAAAAAAAGGACTTTGGCTGGTTGTTACATCAAATAAAATGTAACATGTATTTTCAACGTAATAATTTCATGTTTCCAAGATGAACGTGATGAAAACATGTATGGTTTGCATGAATCGCAACAACTTCACATTTATTAGATTCATTCATGTTGAGATAAACTGAGACAAAGGGATTAGGGTACATATGATTCCCCACTCCAGAGCAGAAGGTGGCGGTATAACCACCAATAAACTGGATACCAACTAATGTAAACAGAGACAAAAATCAATCTACTTTTAAATGTTCACGGTTGTAAAGATGTGAAACGACTGTTCTTGGACACTTCCATGGATGTATTAAGAGAGAACTCTGCCATTGTTTTATTTTGACCGCGATCTGGCGGGAAAGGTTTTTCCCTGCATCCTGTGTGCACTCGCGATATTTTGGCGTAACCGTAAACTTAACCATCATCATCGCGAGAGAGGATCGTTGAGACAAGAAAGACCGTTGGCGAAAGTTGGAGGAGGTAAGCAGAAAACATTGTCATCTAACTGTGAAGCTGTTAATAAATGTCATCAATTGCTAGTCCATGAGCGATATTGTGGTAACGTTGATAGTTAATTTGTTATTTAGTGTTATTTTTTATCTCACTTAAAAAGCTGAATGAGCCGACGAACATGCTAAAGCTAACGTTGTTAACTAGCTAGTCTGTGTAACTGCCAGTTAGGGAGATGGTTCAAATATAGGATATCAGGATTGAAAACTAAATGACGGTAGCATTACCCTG